CATGTGCAGGATGCAAGCATGTTCGGTACAGGGATTGCAACAAAGTCACCAGAAAGAACAAATTCAAGCTGTGTGGCCCCACCAACTCAAAGATTCAATTTCTTCTCGCTTGACACCATTGCGAGTGACAACAGCACGTAAAGCCCCATTTCATAACAAGGCTTCAGCTTCACTTGTTTTTCTTGCAAATTTTAGAACATGATTTCCATGTAATTTAATTGTGCCGAATGCCTGCTTTATGTTTCAGGACCGACAGCAAAGAAGAGGAAGCTTTTCTTGGAATATTTGATGGTATATTTTAGAACTTCTGGATGACAAAATGGGAAAAAAATTCTTTCCCATTGATGGATGTTGTGGGACGTTGTTGTTGATTCCCCAGATACAATTTTGTATGTTATATGTCATTGTTCATTTGTTTCCTCAGGTGATGGCAGACAGTACAGGCTTAACGTATAAATTAAAGGGTGGTATGATTGAATGTTTAAATTGTTAGGAGGCTAAGGGCTAAGAATTTTCAGGTATGAATTGAAGTTTGCGCTTATGTCTACTCCTCAAGAAGAGAACATGTATTTCTTCATTAAAGCTATTTATTATTGAGACACGACGTTGTGACAGTATTATCATTTGTTTCAGTGACTTTTAAAGAGAATCTCATAGGTTCACTGGACAAGCTCATCAGCCATTATCTGATCTGCTTATCCTCATATGGGCACACATAGACGAACCTCCAGTCACACCTTGGGACAATTTAGAATGTTGTTTATAATGTTTATCGTTTTTATGTTGAACCAAGTAAGCATGATTTTAATGTCTCCGGACCGAATTTCGTTAATTTATGCGTGAGCGTAGCCATGACGTACTCCCGCTGTTCCCACGGTATGTTATATCTATCGCGAGATCTCCTTGGTTTGACGTCATTTTAGCGGGTATTTTGTTGGCGGAAAAGGCAGTCGCCCGTCGTACGGATGAAACATTTATATTTATTCACACGCGTTATGCTTAAATTTTATAAGTCAACTTAGTCCCTCCAGACTTTCGAAAGTGTATCATACATTTGTGTATACTCTGGAAAACGCCGCATTTTACGTCGAACGCATGAGGTGAGTTTATTTTTACTGAATTTTACGTTCGTCGTCTTATGTCAAGTCTCACTTTTCTCTACCTGACTCTTAGATGGATTCTTCGGTCGTGTGCACGGAAACGTTTGCAACGGACGGCTGTCTCAAGTCTGGAAACAAGAAAAAGATCTCAAGTGAGTTGAAGTGTTGTCGGTTTAACCCAATGGCGGTGTAGGCTCCCATGAAATATGCTTCCACGTTAACTCGCTCCCAGTTCCAGCTTTCTGGCCCACCAATTTAGAATCACAAATTTGGCCTTTAGGGTTCCGATATGTGTGGAGTTTGCATGTCCGGTTTGGGTTTTCCTCGGGTGCTCTGGCTTTCTCACACATTAACATGCACGTTAATGTTCACTGAAGAATCTTTTGCCAGAACCCTACAAAACATGTTTGGTGTTTTCCTCCAGGGGATGTGGAATCGGACATTGAAGCACTCTACAAGGCGGTTCCTCAGCTTGCCAAGACTTTTCGTATCATTGAGAAAATCGGAGAAGGTGCCCCGTTTATTGGATCATTTGTGTCATGTTTCTTGTTATACTGTACATTCAAATTCATAATTTGCTTTGCTTTAATGCTATTATCACTTTTATTTGGCCCGTTGCTGACGTGTCTTTGCAACTCGCGCATCAGGGACATTCAGCTCCGTCTACCTTGGTGAGGCTCGGATGCCGGATGGTCGCAGAGAGGTGTTTGCCCTCAAGCATCTCATCCCTACCAGCCATCCAACTCGCATTGCCGCCGAGCTCCAATGTCTCACTGTTGCTGGGTTTGTTTATTTCAATTTGAAGATTCTGTTTACACTGACTTGTCCTTTTATTTTATTAGTTTTAATTACCCGTTGCTTGAGAACAGACTTGACCCCCTTTATTTTCGCAGGGGCAGAGAGAATGTGATCGGTGTGGAGTACTGCTTCAGGAAGGAGGATCAAGTCGTGATTGTCATGCCTTATATGGAACATCAAGCAATAGTGGTAAGAAACAATACCTTTCAAAAGTTTGGTGTCACTGAAATCTCCTTATTTTTCACCGAAAAGCGCAGTTTCTTTTCAAATCGTTGACATTAAAATGTTACAACCAGGACATCATCGGCTCATTGAGCTTTGAAGAGGTCCGTCTTTACATCTATCACCTGTTGAAGGCACTCAGACACATTCATCAATTTGGTATAATCCATCGAGATATCAAACCAAACAACTTCCTCTACAACAGGAAGGCCAAGACGTGAGTAGAAACAACACAAAACACTCGTATCTTGTAACCCTGTATCTCAAGGCACCATTGCAAATACATTTAAATAATCTCTGTGCGCAGGTTTGCCCTGGTGGACTTCGGCCTGGCTCAGGGAACGGCCGACACTCAAATTGAGCTGCTCAAGGTGGTCAGACACAAATTGTCAGCACCGAAAGCCGGAGGCTTTAAAGAAAGACGGGACAAAGCGCCACGTAGACCACAGACCACCACCACAGCCCCCACGTCACTGCCTCCACCGCCATCCACAGCTCACCCACCTTCCTCCTCCTCTTCCTCCACCACCACCACCTCCTCGGTTGCTCGGAAAGCGGGGATCCAAAAAACACGATCTGTGACTAGCACAGCGGGGGCCTCTACCTCTCGCACAAAGCACACAAAGGTGTCTGCACCCGAATTATCACTTTCCCTCCTGGTGGTGGCAGGGCTGGCTGTCTTTTCTCCCTTTCCACTATTTTGGGGCCTTCAGTGTATCACAATGCGCCCTGAAAACAAGTGAACAAATGATGGTCACTAGAAACACAATGTAGTGTCTGTCAGCTGAAGGAACTGCTGAGACATTTTGACACAGATGCTTCACTCTATTTCTGGATTGGTACCATCATACATTGCAATCATCCAACTCCTTGAAAACTGAGTAGAAACGAACAAAATATTCGGACAAAATACGGTGAAGCATACAACTGTCGTTATATTAGCACACTAAAAATTAACCTTGTTCTAAGTGAGCTAATCTTCATTTTTAATTACCATATAGTGCGTAGGGAATGTATGGAATGAGTGAATGATTCCAAAAAGCCCCTGTGATTATTTCCTGTCCTGTTTTTCTGAACTCATTTTTTTTCCCCCCTAATCTCATCAGTGTTTGTTATCTCCAGGATTTGGCCGGTTCACGCAAAGCACCAAGGCCCGTGTTTAGCGAGAAGAACCTGAACAGCTGCGATTCAGCCGCCACCAAACACGAAACAAAGACACCCGTAAGCCTCTTGTCAAGTCAGTTTTCAGCATCCATCCATTTTCAATCATTTTGCTATTTTTTTTTTCCTCATTAGGAAAAATTTTGTCAATCTTTAAATCAAGAAAAACAAGGAAACCTTTGGATTAGTTTCACATCTCTATAAACTACAACCGAAATCCGACATGCATTGTGATATTCATGTTTTCCTCAGCTGATAAAACCCATGAAAAGAGGGGAGCTCTCAAGTTCAAGGTTCCCTTCGGCCCAAGGGGGACCAGCCATGGTCAGGAGTCAGAAAGCTCAGAGAGGTGGTCATCAACCTCTCACTTGTAACTGCTTCCAGACAGACCGCGTCTGCAATGTCTGCCTGTCGAGGTGAAGGGCTGAATCTTTGAGGTTTTTGGGTGCTTTTTATTTTCTAATATGGTACGTGACCTGCTCCTCTTGTGCCTCTAAAGGAAGCAGCAGGTGGCTCCCAGGGCAGGAACGCCAGGTTTCCGAGCACCAGAGGTCCTCACCAAGTGCCCGAATCAAGGGACGGGTAGGTCTCTTGAACAGGAATTAGAAATTGAGTCATAGGAACAAAGCCCTGTTGCAGCAAGTATCCAGTATGGTAGCTGTAGGTTCCAGCATATTTTAAACAAATGTGTTTCCTCCTGCACTCAGCCATTGACGTGTGGTCAGCCGGAGTGATCTTCCTCTCCCTGCTCAGCGGACGCTACCCGTTCTTCAAAGCCAGCGACGACATGGTGGCTCTCGCTCAGATCATGACGATACGGGGCTCCAGAGAGACCGTACGAGCAGCCAAGGCATTTGGTGCGTTTTCGACACTATTATAATTGCGGTTTGAGCCACCATCATCGTTAATCATCACCCACTCTGTCCAGGCAAGACGGTGCTGTGCAGTCGGGAGCTTCCCCGAATGGACCTCAGAGTCCTCTGCGAGATGCTCAGAGGACGCAGGGCGGATGAAGTCGTCAAGCCGATCAGTAAAACCAAATTTGTTTGTAAAGCTCCAGATCATCAACCTCAAAACCAAGCTTGTGAGACTCCTCCAATGCTCCCGAAAAGCCAGGACCAAACCCCGAATGCCTCCCCTCGTCACGACTGCCTGGTCCAAGATGAACGGGGGTGGGACGCAGTTCCCGATGAGGCTTACGACCTACTAGACCACTTACTGGATCTCAACCCGACCAGCAGACTTACAGCAGCACAGGCCCTGGACCACCCGCTCTTTAAACACTTGTAACCCCCCCCACCCCTGCCCCGTCGTTTGAGTTCTAGTACTATTCACCAAACGTTCAGGCTATTGGGCTTAGGGGTCACATTTCAGGAGGATCCCATTTCCAGGTAAATTTCACGACACCTTAATGCCTTTCTGTGAGTGTTCCAGTACTGCTGTTGATAAAACCATCTGAATCTAAATTCTGAACATTTTCTCAGAGGAAAGCAGCCACTGAGTTTACAGTGTCATCCGCAGGTTTTAACAGAAACTGGAAGCGTTACAGAAATTCAGAGAGGTGGAGATTTCTAATTTTGGTGGCACCTATGGTGTAGAAGAATCAGGCTTTTAGTGCACTTCTCTAATAAAACAGAAGAGAGAAAAAAACAGTGTAGTTGCTATGTAGTGTCCTGTGTGCACAGTGACGCGACACATTTACAAACGAACACTTTCATAATTGTTCCAAATGGCCATGATTTAATTATTTTAAAAAAAACATCTGAGTACGAAGATCACTGCATTGTACAGAAATGTTTCATTTCCACGAGTGAAATGAAAGAGATGCAAACATTTAAATGGAGCTCTTCACTTCTGTGAGCTCCTCTATTCGTACCAGTACGCTCTCCATCATGTCAAAGGTGTGCAGGGCTGAATGGAGGGCCTGGTGGGGAACATGAATTATGCCGACATCATCACAAAGCTCTTCAGAGTACAATTCAACCCAGAACATCAGCCACCCACCTGAATCTGAGACTCTGAAGTCATGCTCGGAAGCTTCTCGTCACCGACGGATACGGAAATGACAGATGTTTCTGGAGAGGAAGGTACAGTCGAATTACAATAACTTAATAGCAAGTACGTGTGTTGGACTGACCTTTGACATTATTTTTGTTCTCCGTGGTAGTGGTGCTGAGCTCCCTCTCGTAGTGGGCTCTCGACATGTTAATTCCAACACGTAGGGGCTTCAAGAACACATCTTCTATTTTATACAGCGCTGTCCAGATCCCTGTCTGTGACATTGATACATCATATGAGACGCATTCATGAGAATGTAAAATAGGCACCCAAAAAAAATTGTATTCGTATGGAAATGGGAGTTCCTGTTTTTTTCCCCCTCTTCTTGCATTTAAGGAAAGTTTAATGTTTCAACTGTGCATAGTAGTTTTGCAATCAACACCTACACTATTGTTTATGAATGTTGGTCATGATGGTGGTATTTGGAGAGTCAAGTATTATTTTTGCCAGCATTTGGTGTAAAAAGCCCGAGTAAGGCGCTAATGTGACGATAAAAGTCGCTGAATGTTGTAATACCGAAGCTCACCTTGTTCTCTGTCACTTTGTCTCTGATGATGAGGTAACGCAGCAAATTCAGAGCCTCCATGATTCTGGTGGGGGGGGGGGGCAGTCCCAAAAAGAGACCTTGACATAATAATAGACTAGTGGAGGAAAAACACTGCTAGAAAGACATTCTCTTAGTCTGCCCTCGCTGTTCTATTCGTGCACTAAGTGGCCTTACAAGTGAGGAGAAGGAGCGCACCGGTACATGGACCTCACCTGTCCAAGTACTGCAGCAGGTCGGTCTCGGGGCCGTCAGCGAGAGTGAAGACTAATTGCAGCAGAGGGGGCAAGCGAAATCCCTCAAACCAGATGTTCGCGTTTCCGGGCTGCATACAAGCGCAAAAGACAAACGCGATGAGAGAAAGAACACCAAATGATGCCCGCGGTGACGTCAAAAGAGCCGCTTCACCCGCAAGGCCAAATCGATCTGACTTCGGATGTTTTTGATGATGTAGCCTTCGACCCCGGAGTGATGACTTGTTTTCAGCATGAACCTGAAAATGAGCTAAGTTAAAAGGTTGTAGTCTGATACACAGTGCAACTGGAAATTATTCACAGTGCTTCACTTTTGTTATTTTAATGGCTAAATGAATTTCTGCCTCTAAAAAAAATTCCACCTCTGCTAAATTCAGCTTGTTTATGTTAAGAAAAAAAAACTATAAAAATCTCATTTTCAATAAATATCACTGTCATTATGAGATGTTGTGAATTCTGAGGGGGGGGGGAATCCATTTAACCCATTTTGGAAAAGAGGTGCTACTTAAAATGTGGGGAAAGTGAAGCACTCAGAATACTTTATGGATGCACGGTATCTACATACTGATGTGACTTTTCAGGCATGGAGGTGCAACCTACTTGAAAAAATTGTATTTGGCTTCAAGATTGAACTTGTCGATGCTTAGCTGGAACACTTTCAAGCCTTTGCGTCTCTGTGATTGAACAGCGTGGGATTGATGTTAATGCACAGAAGCCACAACGTTCAGTATTCGATTAGATACAAGCGCTATAGTAAATGGGGTTGTGGATTTACTGAAACTTAGACTGACTCTCTTTCCAAAGATTTGCGACAGCGCTTGTCATGGATTCTCACTACGAGTGAAAGTGTAGCTCATAAAATGGTTGGATGAGGCAATTGGCAAATAATCCACTCACCAAATCGTGTCTTGGACATATGGTCATGACCTTTGTTAAGTTCTACAAACAAAGCACATTAAAAAAAATTAACGGGATGTACTGGCAAAAATCAGAGGTGCACATTTTTAAAAAGTTTTTTTTTTTGTTTTGTTTTGTTTAGGTGACCTGAGGCACAGTGAGGAATGTCTTCATTTGCAGCAGTTCCGAGGGCAAACTGTTATCCTCTACGCGCACAAGACACTTTTCATAAAGCTCCTATGGCACAGAATACACATAATTACATCAACCGGCTACAATTTGTTTTATTTGTGTGGATTGAACACATGGCTATGTAAATTTTAAAAAATATTATTTGTGTAAACGCCACATTGAGTTTCATAAAGCATTACAAGAAATGATTTACCAGTCCTTTCTGAATCTTCAAGTCTGCGCTTCTAAAAAAAAAAAAAATAACATCAATCAACATGAGGAGAAACTTGAAGATAATCCAGAAATTGTCCACATATTGTGTCGACAATTTCTACCAACCGCTGCTGTCAATCAGGTGGGTTTGTTCTCATGAAGTGCGTTTCTAACACCAGATGTTGAAAGATGTGTTTTGAACAGAGGACAGATTTGAAGATGGTCCAGCACTATTTAAGGAGTGGTGTAATGCATTCACCTGGATAGCAGGAGGCTGACGTGATCCATATTGCACCGAAGACAGAACACAGGACTGCAAGACAGAGCAGCGTATAAGTAAGGGCATAATTTATCATTCTGCAGTTAGTTAAACATTCCTGTGATAAATACCTTGCGAGAAAACTGCCATCTCTTTTCCTCACAGGTTCAAGACAACAAAGACGACTATGTCGGGTTTAGCAAAGCAGCCCCAGTTCATGAGCCTCCTGTTTGTTTCCGAGGAGGTACAGTGCTCTTTTCTTTGTACACAAAACTGCCCGTTCATTGTCCCAGAAGCATTGCAACTTGTCAATATACATTTCAACAAATATCAGTATCATTAGTTTCAAAAGTTAGGGATAGTTGGCATTCAGGTGAAATTTCAGGAATGGGAGAGTACTAATACCACGTATCGAGATCGGGCCAATACCTGCCTTATTTCAGTGTGTCGGGTACTCGCAAAGGCTTCTGATACCGGCCGTTAATACTTTAGGCACCATCTTGTGGCCATTTTACGAACAGCAAGGAAACGGCATGCATGGCTGACAGTACCTTATTCTTGTTTATACAATACTGCAACCTAACCTAGGGCAGCCTCTCATGAGCGCATTATTAGTGCGTTGCTATCGGTTACTTGGTTCGGGTAAATAGTCAAGTTGAGTCCAGTCTGAAGACTTAAGGGTCTTACTTGAAGACACAGGGGAAGGTGTCTGCAGCAAGGTGATGAACGAACACCAGGTGAGCCAGGCTGGCTAGCGACTCTTTGGGATAGCGCACTTCTTCCTCTAAAAAGCCCGCCGCCTCTTTTCTCTTGGAGAGAGGCTGATACACGAGGCTCGTCGTCGACTCTCCGATAGCATTGAGGTTGTTCTGTCAGACACACACCCACAAAAGCAACCCTCAGATGGAAAGTTCACCTAGCCATCTTTAATCGCGTTTTTTTTTTCTTCTTCATTAGCTGGAGCCCATCACAGCTGTCTTTTTGTGTTGCAAATAGTGAACAGACAATATTTACACCTGAATATATTTTTCCAGAATATTAGCAATAGTATATTCAAGTGAGTATCTGGAGTGGGCATGCATGTTCGCGGCACGGAAGCGTCAACAGTCTACATTATCCTCACTTGTGAATGTCAATGGTTGTCTGTCTATGTTACCCCGCTTCTTGCACAAAATAGACTCGGATATACTCCATCGAATCCATGACCCGAATGATAGTGGAAAATGGATGGACGAACATTCAAATGAGGCTGGAGACTGTCATACCAAAATATCAGTGGCCAAATCCCTCAGAGGAGACAAAGCCAGAGCGTCAGGATCATTGAGTTGCACCTCCAGAAGCGGACGACACAAAGTACTCATGCAGCTGCAAGATGGACAGAAAGGCCATTCAATCTGAGAGGAGGGGTCAACGCGGTGAAGAAATGGAAACCTCAACCTCATCACTCACAACTTCAGAAGCTCTGTCCTCAGCTCCTCTTGATCCAGTGACACCCCGTCAAGTTTGGCCGACTTTTTGGAGCTCGCGCTCGCTTTGCTGTCACCTTTACAGAGCTCCCGTTCAGCCTCTTGGACGAAGGGCTTGACAAAGGCAGTCAGGTCAGAGCAGCAGCGACCAAGCAAAAAGATGTCATCTTCCTCCTGCTCTTTGGTGTGAGGCACAGGCAGTTTGGCAACCTGCTCCAGGGCGGAGGACAAAGCCATGCCCAAAGACGACGCCTTACGGCTGCCCAGACGCAGCAGCACTGACGGGATCGAGACACAATGTCATGAAACAGTTTCCAATTTCTGTGACATTTGTTTGGTAGGGTGCCAAGAGATTTTTCCGGTGTAAAATATGTGCTTTGGCGCAATAAAGATCAGGAAAAGATTGAAACAGACAGTGCGGTGGCTGATGAAATCCCTAACCTCTCTGCAAAGGCTTCAACAGCAGATGGAGGCTCTCCGCTATGGCGACAGGTTCCTCCTGCTCCAACTGCTCCAATAAACCAATCAGCAGCTCTTTAGGTCTGCACGTCTGAAATTGAACAACTAGTAAATTAACATCGTTCAAACACAAAAGGCACAATTGAATGTAGTTTAACCTCAAGTAGGTGATTGAAAATGGCCAGACAGTGAGGAAGGTTCTTGTCGTCCTTCTTCAACAGAACCTGAACCAGAGGAGGCAGCAGGTTCCACCCCATACATCTCACCAGTTCCTACACAGGAGGAAACATTTTCATGGTAACATTCAGACTAAAAAGAATAAAGGTGCTGCCCAAAAGAGTACCGCTATATCTGTTTTTGTTTTTTACAGTCTACATCTGAATTTGAAGTTACACATTTCAGCGCGGCACCACACATGCCGCAAAACGCCAGCCGGTTCTGACGTCTACTCGAAAACATGCAACATAATAGAAGAAGGAAAGGGCAGAGAAGGTCCCCATCTAAGTGCTAGTAATAGTTGGTTCTTCCCGCAAAGCTGTTCAGGTACCTGATTTGTGTCATCCAGGACAATACTGAGCATTTGAGCACTGTGTCCCTCCTCGATGCATGACCGACCAGCAATCATAAAGACATCGTGATCTTCGGTGGTGTAGCTATCAGCTTGGAGCGCTTGCTAGATGGGAAAAACAAAAATGGATGAAAAGCATCTCATATTGAACTTTAATCATTTCAATTAATTGGTCATGAACCTTGGTACAATAAAGGCTGCAAAATACTGCACTGGATTATGGAACGGATAACCTCATTAGAATTGAATGAAAATGTGTAATTCTTGTTGAAGAAGAACAAAACAGTTTGGACTCACGCATCTTTGCACCACATCACAGAACTGATCCAGAGCCATTCCCTTTGTCCTCACACGGCACTCCTGAAACACTAAATGCTGAACAATGTAGGAACAATACTTGTGTGAATCATACGTAATGACATTAACACTATAGTTAACTGGTAAACTGTAAACAGACGAGTCAGTGCTAGCTTTGACACATCATTAGCTTAGCAATTAAACTCACAAAGACACATCTACATAATTTTATCAGCATCTACTCAAATATTTACATGTAACCAATTACGCAGTTAAAAGTTTACAATGAAAAAGAAACAACCTGAAAATATAGTACCAAAAGAGAGACCACGCCGGGTCGGGAATGAACATTTGGCTCATCCGACTTGCCGTATTTATGTGACGTCACAGGTCATAGTTGATATCGTCACAAACAGGAACAACATGGAGTCGGAAGAAAGAAGAGTTGTCTCGAAAGCGACTAAAAAAGGTACTTAAAGAGTTTGTTTTGTCAAATTACTTACCGTTCGTTCACCGTGATGTTTGTTTGTCGTGGCAGGGGGAAAATACGCCAAGCTGCTGTGTGAAGAAGAAGCAAGGAGGTTTTTCATAAAGTCTTTTCATTTGTGTGTTGGAGTGACAGTATTGCTAACCCCTTTTTGAGCCCTTTTTTTTTTTTTGGTAACTGCCTACCAAAAACTGCTACATTTATGTCAGGATAACAACAACAACAACAAAAAGGCAGCTCACACGTTTGTGTTTTTTCAGCTCAGACAGGATTTCTGAACCTAATAAACTTCATAAGCTGGTGTGTTGTTTTAACATTCAGTTACCTTTGTTACTGTAATGTAATGCTTGTATGCGTGTTTCTCAGGAGAGAATCGATCCGGGAGACGCTGAGGGAAAGACTGGAATTGGAGAAGAGAGCTTTGCAAGTGGTGGAGCGTCTGCTGGAGGACAGCGTGTGTGAGGACTTCTTGCTCGACTGTGTGAGTTCAGTCCAACTCTCTTTGCCCTTACCTCCAAATTTAAAGTCATGAGTACCCATCCTATGGATCTAATGTATTTAGACTTTACTGCAGTACTGTATTTCAAATTCATATTTCTTAATATGTTATTGTTTTCCCCACACAGGCCAAGTTTATCACCAGTGCTAATTACAGAGATGCTGTGGAGGAAAGATTCATTACCAAATTGTGTGGTTATCCTTTATGTTCAAACAAACTGGGAAAGGTATATGCATCCGTTGATCATATGTTTATTACCAAATGGACTTTATCGGTGTCATACTTGAATGTGTTTATCTTACAGATCCCAAAGCAACAGTACACAATCTCGACGAAGACTAATAAGGTGTATGATATCACAGAGCGCAAGGTGACTGCTGCTACATATGGTAGAATAGAATAATTGATGAGCTATACAGTACATGTTGCATCTGAACATGAATTTTTGTGACTTTCTTTGTGACTTTCTCTCCATGCAGTGTTTCTGCAGTAACTTTTGCTATAAAGCATCCAAAGAATTTGAGCTGCAGATATCAAAGGCACCACTTTGGCTCAGGCAGGATGAGCGGTATGTGTGGCTAACACACGTCAAAAGATCACTTCATTTAGTTATGTCCGAATGATATTAAAACTATAAATTAGTATTTCCTGTGCACATTACACCTACTTTGTGGCCACAAATAAGCATCTTGTACTCAAGTTCCACATTATTCTCTTGATTCCATCATTTTGTTCTTGTTCTTGTTTTACTTTTAATGGCAGTAATATTCCCAAGTAGAGAGTAAAAGTGCCGTATGATAAAGTGAATGATGAAGTGAAAATCATTGAATCTTCTTGCAGACGCCCAGAAATCAAGCTGAGGAAGAAAGGAGACATGTATGTATTTTGGCTTCAGTGATAACATTCCATCACACTGTTTTTTTTTCTTTACAGTATCTCATAAAAGTGTGCACAGCCCTCACATTTTGCACATTTTTTTTTACTTTTCATGGGACAACATTGAAGAAATGTTTTTTTCAATGTTAAGTAGTTGGTGTACACTGTACAGCTTGTGTAATAGTGGACATTTACAGTCAACTCAAAATAACTCAACACAGAGCCATTCACTGCTGACAACAAAAGTGAGCACACCCCTAAGTGAAAATGCCCTAATTGGGCCAATAATTTTCCCTGCCGGGGTGATGTGATCCATTTGTGTCAGGAGGACTCAGTGGTAGATAAGGAGCAGGTCTGTCTAAGTAGTAAAGCAAATTAGACTGTAATACTGACTACTTAACATTGGAGCAAAATGTCATTTATTAGGCGTAGTCCCAAGAAAATAAATATTTACAAAAGTGTGAGGGGTGCACTCACTATTGTGAAATAATGTATACCAGCATCAAATATACGAACTCTTGTGTCCAGTGGAAGTTCTGGTGAGGAGGTGTGTCTGACAGCCAAGTGTCTCCAGGAGGAGGATATTGAACAACCGCTGAGCATTCAATGCGAGGACCCTCAGGAGCGTTGCTACACAGCCGGCTGCAACGACGACGACTACAGCAGCGATGACGAACGGGAGCAGGACTTCATTTCTAGCGTGGTCTCCCGGGAACGCAGATCCAGGGTGCACTGGGGTGACCGGCCAAGACGTAAAAACGAAGGTGAGGGAGTTGGACGGGGGGAGGCAGAGAGGAGACGGTGTCAACAAAAGCAGAGAGCAGAAAAGGAAGACACAATGAGACGGGATGAGTCTTTTGAGACCAACCGTGAAGAATCGCGCGAGGAAGCCAAAGTGGAAGAGGTGATGGGTCAACTGGTTTCATGCAGCCTCCACACGGCATCGCCAACTCCAGCCTCTCCCATGAATGAATCAACTCACTCGAGAGAAACCGGTTCACCGGCCGAGTTAAGCGCAGACAGTCGGCCGAGCCTCGACATCATCCAGGTGGGGGTGAGCAAGCGAGGGGTGTCGGGGTTACGGGGTCTTCTCAAGAACCACGCCCCCGAAGCAAAACACAACCTGATTGGACACAGTCTCCTTGAATCCTTGAGAGCGACCCTGAACGAATGGCTCACAGATGAGAGCCTTAAATTCCTGCACGGCGCTAACTGTACACTTGACTCTCCCTCTACATACCTGAAAGAAGAAGAAGAAGAGGAGGAGGAAGACGAGGAACTGGATGAAGATGACCTTGAGGATGATGTGACCGAGGTCAGTGGAAGAGCGGAGCGGAGAACCACGGCGGCGGCTCCAGACTATGAGGCTCTCAAAAGGGAAACCCAGCAGATGGTGCTCAAAGTCAGAGAGTTTTACAAAGGCACCTGGATTATGCCTGAGGAGCCACAGAGGGTGAATGGAAACGAGGTGAGTGATGGGAGAGAAAGATGAATGAAAGTTAGTCGCCACAAGGGGGCGCTAAAGAAACCCATCGGTAGCACTTAGGACTTGGGAGAGAGGCAAGTAGAGCCACTGATGTTTCAGTGATTTTTTTCGAGCTTGGCCTCGCGTCTTAACCTCCAAGGTTCAAGCAAGTCCCAACTTACTTTGGGGAAAAATGAGTCCACTATATTGAAAATACTGATTTTCAAATGTAAACAGGCAAGCATTGTAATCTCAATTAGTTCAAGTCAAAGTCGGTCTCAAAAATACCAAGCCAAAGTCAAGCATTTCCTAACTTCAAGCTAAGCAAGTCCCAAAATTGGTGACTTAAATGTAACTCCTCTCAACTCAGTCCCCTAACTTTGCCTATTTGTACCATCGTGTCTTAATATGCGCCCAGTATTTTCATTGGCGACACATTTTAAAACACTGATTAAAAAAAATACTTTCATCAGCAAAACATTTTAAGACATTATGATTTTAAAAAAATACTTTCATCAGCAAAACATTTTAAGACATTATGATTTTAAAAAAAGTGTCACGTGTTTGTCTCACTTCCAGGACCAGAGCACAAGTGACTCTCCGGCTCTGCCACTGGTTGACTCCAAAGCTCAGCACCTCATCCAGAAGCGAATCACAGTGGAGAAGCTCGCCAGCTGGTGTGTCCACAATCCTCATGATTTTATTCTGCACATATTTGTGGTGAAAAAAAAAAAAAAGCTCGGATTTGTGGATTTACTCGATGCCTTGTCATTTCTGTCCTTTTTGATATGCAGTCTTAGAAACATTTTGGGTCCGCTGAGTCTCACCCTGAGTGACATCACCAGTGACCTCAACAACCTGGTCAGGACATTCAGGTCAGTGCAACACACCTACAGAGACGCGCACACACACTTCCATTGGGACGGATTCAGGTTTCACGGCAGCAACCGATGCCACCTCGTTCCTCATCTTACGGGATGCTCTGCTAAATTGCAAGCAATACAACTCGGCTCACTGAGATGAAAAAAAACAAAACAATAATAGCGCTCATGTTCTTGTCACTACAACCTGTAAGATCAGTAAATGCAGTGAGTATTAAGAGGTGATGTGACATAAAACAGCATTTCAAGTTGTGTACGCAAGGCAAAAAAGAAGGAATAAATCTGATCATCAAATTGGGCAACATTGCCGAATCGCCCGGCTGACTCAAAGCAACGCTAATGGTCAAAAACAAGGAAGTGATGCCTAATCCGTAGAAAGGAGGAGAGAGTCGAAGGGAGGGGCAATTTTAAAAACATGCTGAGGTTCTGGTTTAACGAAGACTCTCAGTTGTCCATCCTGTCGTGTTGTGAATGTCAGTATGAATGCTTGTTTGTATTCATGTGCCCGGCGATTGACCGGCGACCAGTCCAGCGTATGCCACGTCCCTTCCCCAAAGTCAGTTCGGATCGGCTAATGAGGATACGTGCTGTGGAAAATGGATGCACATCTTGATAGGATCACCGGTGGGAAATGAAGGAATAAACGTTACAAACAAATCCATACTTTGTTCCCCTTGGCCGTCAAAGTCGTTTTCAACAGGTTTGCTATTAAATCACCGTGTCAGTGATTTAAGAGAAGTTTGGCTTCCAGGAATTCTTTTGTTTTCTGCCGAGAGGCCCTGCGGACACACTTGAACAAAAAACCCAAAGGATATGCGTTGTTGCCAGACAAACATACATCATGGCACCTTGTACAGCAAAGCCATGTTTGTGCCACTTCCTCTATTTATCCATGAGAGTTATATCCACGACAAGCCTGAATGTGGGCTTTTGCCCTTGCAAAGACAGCAACATGTCATATTGGGGGACTGACTTTGCCTGTTTTTGTTTTGTTTTGTTTTTCGAATATCACAGGTTTACCAACACCAACATCATCCACAAACCTCCAGAGTGGACCCTCATCGCCGTAGCGCTTCTCCATCTGTAAGTGCGACTTCGACTTAAATCAGCGGCACCCAAACTGTGCTCCCCGAGCTGTAGTGTGGGTGTTGGCGAAATAATTTGCAATCATCCAAAAATACAGTCCACCAAAGACGGGGAACGTCCAGTTTGGGAGCTTCAGTGAGCAAACAATAAGAAACAAATACGTAGTAAGCATTTTCCTTCACGAAATGCCGATGGCCGCAACTCAGACCAAAAGTGGCTAATTGGTTAGCCACTTAACAGCCAGCTAACTCCACATTCTCATTCACTGACACAACGAAAGGCTCATGAAAGGTATAAAATGACTTTGGTGTGAAGGAAGTCCAGTGGGACAAACTAGAAAAAGAATGACAAAGTGCCATCGAGCATGGGCACGGTAGCAAATGTTGCCATCGTGTACTTTTTGTGTGCAGCTTTGCATACAAACAAAAGCAAGCAAGTCATCAATCTCCTGCGCTGTGCCTTGGCATCACCGTGCCTGTGATATTTTCTCGGCCGCACCATATGGCGTGCGGGGCGTGAACGCGCGTGCGATCGCGGCGACGGCAGTTCACGGACAGTTCCGTGCTCCTCCCATCTGAGTACACACTGGCGCTTTGTGGCCTTATCTCACCCAGATTGTACCACTCCAGATCCGTGAAGGAGGACGGAAAGCACACAAGCAGCCCTGTTCACCTCTCATGTTAAAACACACACACATTCACGTTAAACTGGCACTTGGGAAAAGGTTCCCCTGATTTCACCCGGCTCTGATTTATGAGACCCAAGTGGCTCACGTCAACGTCCGAGCTCACCCGCATAACAACATCCTAGTTATTTCAGTCGTGGACAAAATATTTGTGTTTTTGTGAACTCGAAATACAGTTGTGCCTTGACCTGATTTGAAAAAAAATGAACATTGAGACAAAAGTAGTGCTTTGCTACAACCTTGGAGCATTTTGTTGCCCAAGGAACTATTGAAGTGAATTGAGGAGCTTCGTTTAGATAACAGGAGTTCTTTGCCTGACATCTTCTGACAATTCTAACCTTTTTTCGAAGGACGTCAGTTATTCGTTTCCGCTTGACAGCTGGGCTCGGTCCTGCTGTATAAAATAATGAACCTTGATGCAGCTTCATTTGATTCTGATTCTGATTCATCCTCGTGGGCTCTGATTGGCTGCCGGCGAGATCACGCGTTCTCTGACAGAACACTTCAAGTTTTCTTTTCAGCCCTCCCATGGCAGTTGTGCTGCAAGACTTCTGGCGGCTACGGCTCACTGGTCATCCTTTCTCGATATCCGCTGGATGCATCTCCATTTCGATGGACTGCTGCCTTTTCTTTTCATTTTACACAGCACACTTGTATCGCAACCGGTGCCAGTGGCAGCGCATGATTTCATCAGTCGCCATTCAAATCCAAGCTACTATTTTTCCGCCATGAATAATTTGGCGTGGTGCACTTGTCTATCTGCTGCCCAGCAGCTGTGGAGCTCGTCTGGCCTCTTTTGTTCCAAGTCGGTTGAATAATAGATGCCCCCCCCACCCACCTTTGCAACACGGGAACCTGAGGAGAACCACAGATAAACCGAACTCCACGGAGATACGTAGACAACTAGGTGTTGGGGGGAGGGGGGTTGCAAGTGTCCAATTAGAGATGATTGACGCTGAATCATTGTCATCCTTGAGCCACATTAGCCATGTTAAGATTCAAAACAAAAGCGGTCTAAAAAAAAAAATAGATAACGCTCAGTTTTTATTGTCACTGTGACAATTTTTTTTTTTTTTTTGTATATTTTTGTTCTTTATGGTAGTTTGCATCATAGTTGTGGTTTCAGACTGATGCATGAAATATTGTTACATTTAATTCACGGCAATTCTTAAATAATTAAATAATCTACTCCCCCATCCAGGTTGTCGTATGTGTCTCCAGTGGTTGCCGAAGCCTTGAAGACGCCGTCGTCAATCTCGTACGTAAACACCCTGATGGAGGAACTGGGCCTTCAGCAGCAAGACCTCTTGAACCTGCTCCAGGCATTTAAACCCCCACCGCACTGACAGACTCACATTCCAGTTCAGGGAATGGCCACTTACTGTATCATGGGTTCTGTAATTGAACCAAATAAAGGTATTGATTATATTTTTGTTTATTCAAGTATTATTTTGTGTTTTTTCTTCTGTTACAGTACGTGTATGTTCAGATTTTTGATCCAATCCGATTTCAGCCTCTGGGTTGCCATGTTATTGGAATCTGCCAAGGGCCTTGAGAATCGCCGGTGCTGGTTCATGTAAACTATTTGCTTGCATCGGGAATATTTCATTAACCAATCCAATTTAAAATATATCCTCGCAGGGCCGCAGCGCTGGCCCTCGATGACGTCAGAATGTTTCCACGGGTCGGTTGGTATGAGCCAAACTGGTTCCAGTGAGCTCCAACAAGCAAAGCTTATCTTTGGCAGTCTGCACAAGTTATTACATTTAATAATCGGCCTCTCTGACGAATATGATGTATATGACTTTTGCACATATGATTTATTACATCATTTTCGTTTTTAAAGTTATTGAACATACATGAAAAGTCAGCAGCATTCGCTACAAAAATCACAGGTGGGACGTGCGCAAATCACAACCTTGAAACTTTTGGAGCTTGGAATCTTGCATGCGTGTCCAAACAAATCACACCCAAGATTTACCAGGAAAAACGCCGTGATGTGGACAACTGGAGCATATTTCATATCGGTCATAAAAGTGACGCTAGTCCAGCAGACTTCCTTTACAGGCTCCTTTATGGCACTCTAATTGCATTTGTTATATGGGTCTGGTATTTGATTTTGACCAGATGGCACTCACACCAAAATGTTTTTTTTTTCTTCTGTGTGGTAAAAGTGATATGACTTAGTCAGGGAGATTGGTGATATGATTGATGGCTTACATAGCTTAACACATCTCTGCCTCTTTTTTAATAATGCAATGACTTAACTATGGCAGTTACAGTTCATTATTATTATTATTATTATTAGTATTATCATCTCTCTTTATCCACAATTGAAAACTTGGACTGGGCCTTGGCACTGGCGCAGCCTCTTTTGAGTGTCTCATTGTTGGCCATGAGCTTGCAAAGCAACCATGTTGAACTGTTTGGCAGGTTGATGGTTTGTGTACTTGCTCAATAAAGGGTTAGCGAAGCAAAATGCATTCCAATCTAAGTAGGCAAAAAAAAAAAAAACAATCCATAAATTTGAAATCTTGAAGAGATAATTTATTTAAAGGATACAAGCATACATGTACATCATGGAAATAACAGAACCCAGTGCAGTCTTGCCAGGCTAAATAATAAATAGTCAACAGCACAATTGTGTTTTTATGCGTCAATCTAGCAAAAACAAAAAACAACAACAACATAGAAAAAAAAGTGCAATTAAGGCTTGGAAAGGGAAAGGATTATTTGAGTCCATGTTGGGTCTCCTTGTGCCTCCTCAGGTCCACTTTTCTCTGGAAGCCTTTGCCGCAGAGGTCGCAAGCGAAGGGCTTGAATCCCGTGTGTTTCCGGCTGTGCGTGATCAGGTTGGAGCTCTGGCTGAAGGCCTTGCCGCACACTTGGCACTTGTGCGGTTTCTCGCCTGCACGGAAAAGGCAAATGCGTCACTCACACATCTTGCTGGGGTACTAGTAGGTTTTGTACTCACTGGTAAGACGGTTCTGCAGAATGACTGTTTTACGAGTCACATTTTTTTCACGACTGACGTTTCTGAACACTAGCGGGACAACTTTGGCATACCAATGGCGCGACGACATGTTAACGTGTGATCCTAAACTACGTACAAGCAGGCATTGTGGTGCTACGAGTAGGGTCCACAGGGCTACTAGTACGTGATAGATGCCCGCTACTCGGTCCAAGTAGTGTTACTAGTGCTGCACAGTAGTTGGACAGTGGGATTTAATTGTGAAATAGTAGGTCAAAAATGGCACTAGGCATTGGAAAACAATTGTACTTTTAATTTTACTAGTGTGCAGAATTGCGGCTCACTGGTAGCACATCAATGTCAACTATTTCAGAGTTTTGGTCGTAACATGTAGTTGTATACTAGCATGTCAAAGTTGTCCTACTAGCGAGACCAAAGTGTGTATTAGCACGAGAACCTCAAGGTGGATTTTAAGCACATGGGATAAATGCTCAATTGATTTCCATCTTGTCCGTCTCTTACCTGTGTGGATGAACGTATGCTTTTTCATGTCCGACTTCTGATGGAACCTCTTCCCGCAATACTGACACGGATACGGCCGCGTGTCCGAGTGGATGAGAAGGTGCGTGGACAGCGTGGACGAGCGCTTGAAGCTTTTCCCGCAGATTTTGCAGCTGAAGCTCCTCTCCTGTACACACAAGCATGTTTGGATTTTTACGTGCAAGCGTCGCTTTAAACGCAACGTGACGCCTATCGGGGTTCCCCAGTTTTTGCGCTGTGATTGAGATGTATAACGCACATACCTGTGAGTGTACCGCCCTGTGTTGGTCCAGGCTGACCGCGTGGCCGAAGGTTTTGCCGCAAATCCCGCACTCGAAAGGACGTGTCCCGCTGTGTGACCGCCTGACATGGACCTCCAGGCCGTGGGGCGTGGAGAACACCTTTTGGCACAAATGATTGACTACTTTTTTCACATTGTGGCGTCAAGATTGTCCACGGGTCATTAATTTGTTTCATTTCTGTTAAAAAAAATAGATATTTAATATTTTCTATATTTTATATTAAATCTCTCTCCATATATATATATATATATATATATGTACATGTGTTTGTTGAATGACTTCAGATTTATTTTCTATTCAACGTTATGTGCTGAAAGTCGATTAATCGATGGCATCGTTGATTAAAGGTTGATGCAGAGTAGTAAAGTCGACTGGTCAACAAATCCGTTCAATCCCATCTATCTCGCTAGCTAGCTAGCTACTTAGCTAGCTTATCTCTCTATCTAGCTAGGTAGCTGGCTAGCTAGCTATCATGGCAGGTAGTGTAACATTACCTTGTAACACTTGATGCACTTATAGGCTTCACCAGGGTCCAGCTGGTTGACGCACATAAACTCCTCTTCACTCTTGATAATTTCAGACCCACGTGGCTTCTCCTTGAAGTCCCCAAACATGTCAGCATTCCTCCTCCCGCACATTTGTTGGATTTGGATCGGAGCCGAGCAGTCCTGATAGCATCCTTTGGTCCGAGGCTCGGCGCGGCCCTGCTGCAGGTCCAGCTGGTCCAGGCGTCGGTGGTACGGAGCCGGGCCGGCGTGCCTCAGGTCCGACGAGGGGTAGGACCACCAGGGGTAAGCGGGGAAGAGGGACATGTTGAAGTGTTGGCCGTCCTCCGCAGTCGGTGTAGAGCATTCTTCCGAATCTGGAATGCGATCAAATGTGAGCGGAATGGTGCTTTGAAATGCAAGTGAGCCTACTTACAAGTTTGTCAAGATACAAGCAGTCATTCAGATGATTTTTTTTTTGCTTTGCCTCACGAGTGGAAATGTGAGACACAAGAGCCATATGGCGGCAATCAAGATTACTGTTGCTCGTTCAATGCTAACACATAGTGGGAAATGCCATAGATGGGCAAATGTATAGCATATCTACGTAGCAGTATTATAACCCTTCATTTAAACGCCGGATATTTAAACACAACCAACCAGCAACATGTCAACAGATAATATAACAATACTCATTGGCATATATTATTTATCCTCTGCAAAAAAAGACGAACATGACTGCACGTCACTCACTGACTGACTCACAGTAATTGTGAAACTCATATTTGTGTCTTCGTGACTGTGATATGTTGCTCTCCCGTGGTCAAGTTGCGCACACAAGAAGGAGCCGCAATTAATCATGATATGCAAAATGTTGAACAACACCCGCTGTTGCGCATCGATCGGTGGATCAATAATAGGTTAGTGTGTATGTGGAGGGGGGATCCTGTCGGGACTCGACGGGGCATATACTTGAGGAAAGGTCCCTTCACCTCCTGAATATGACAGAAAATTTTCAGGCACTGTATATATTTTTATCACAGATTATGCTCCGGAGTTGTGCCTCTCAACATCCACGCTACTCCGACTGTTCCGAAAACCTTTTTAGCCATCTCAAGGAAGAGGAAAAAAAAATGAGCTACATGACTCAGCAGATATTACATGATCAAGTTAATTGCACTGACCACGGGTAGACTAACGTAAGTCATCTCTTCTATTTTTTTTCTCCATTTTTTGAGCAGTAAGGGAGTGTGTGACTCAAACTTATGAAACTGTGTTGCTCATATTTTCAGGAAAAGATATCTTAATATATCAAATCTGTGGTCTAAATTCTCCAATTCTGGAATGATGCATATAGCGAAACCAAATCAGCTTTTACTAACTTTTGATATGGAAGCGAAATTATTCAATGTTGTCTGTTTGCATGTTCTAAAAATGCAATACATTACACGGATATGTATCTGAATGTGAAACAATGTGCGGTTGATGTTTTTTTTTTGTTTGTTTTTTTTAATACAATTAACTAAAAGTATTGTGATTTTATGATGGCATCTACAAATCTCCTTTTTATCCATAATGTTTATATCATATAAAAAAATTACACAGTCTTCAACTGGCCATTCCATACATTTCATTTTAATTTAGATGTTTATTACGATGGATAATAGTCTCATGAGTTAAATGAAAAAAAAAACATGACATTAAATATAACTCAATGGCATAAAAGAAAACATTAGTGTAACCCCGAGAATATTGTATTTACTTAAGTTCTTATTGACATATATAGTAGACACAAATCCGATGAGTAAAATTAACGAAAATAATACGACTTTTATTTTACGACTTTCAGTGGCTTAAAAGACATTAGTCCAAACAAAAAAAAAAATTGCGTGATAGTTAATTTTGGTGGGTCACAATATAAACATGATAAATGTGAAAGTCGAAATGAGATCAAAAAGGACCTAAAGTAGTTCTTTTTGGATGTCTTTGTAAAATTACAATTAATTTGATTATTTGTTTCCTTTTTAATGTGAAATTCTCTGTGTTATTTTTGTGTTTTAAAGTGTATTTTTTTAAATGGAAAAAGCAAACTTTTAACAGTTGATCCTCACCTCCATGTCAAACGTTAGTCAAAGTTTTCAAAGTACAGTAAATATGGCAATTGCGTCGGACTGCACGTTAAGGCAACCTCAAGAAAATTTGAAAATAAACCTGGAGAGGAGGACGGGGACGGAGGACGCCACAAATCACAGTCCGAGGCTCGGTCGCTCGCACCGCAACTCCGCGGGGAACTGGACGGCAGAGAACCCGGGGACAGGACCTGGGGCCCCGGGGACAGCCTGTCCGTGGTCACGGCCTCCAAATTCGAGTCCACTTGACATTTTGTCTCTTAGGTTTGTAACAGAAGAAACTGTTTTTAAAAAATGTGTTTTTAAAAATCTCCTTCATTCGGTGCGTGATTGCGTGCGTATTTACGCATGACCAACCTGCGCTTATGTGAGCCAGAAGCGTATCCAGGCCGATGGAGATGTCGTCCACGTATCGGGGCTGGTGGTAGCTGTGGGCCCGCTTACTCTTCACCAGGAAAGACCTCGGCATGATACTTAAAGTGAGTCAACTCTCTGTGTACTTGTCACTGCCTCTCACTTGACTGGAGCGCTTCTTCGCTCTCCAGCCATGTGGGGTTAGGGTGGTTATTCCCCCCCCCCCCTTTTAACCATTACGCATGCGCAGCAAGACCGCAGTGCTTGCCAGGTGTTGCGTAGCAAGTTGACAAATCGCCCCCTCCCCTCCCAAAAGTTAGAATATACGCACAGATACATTTACTCATGATTGACTAAATCAAAATCAACGGAGATATATACTCAGAGCCATTACATTAGGAACAGTATTTACACAGCCATTAATCCTCAGTATGTACATGATGTCATTTATTTGTCGTGCTGTACTATTATTGCCACCATATGCCAAAGGCTCGGGTTGACTTTTTTTAGTGTTTGATTTGCAAACCGCCCTGTTGTGAGATGCACATGGTGGTCACAACATTAGGTACACCTGCACAATGAGATCACTCACAACCAATGTGTTTTTATTTGTGTGTAAACTACAGTCAAATTTTGAGGATCACTTAGGAATGTCTTTATTTCCACTGTTTTACACGTACACTGTAAAACCTACCAAGCTGACTTTACTTCCCAAAAAAACGATGTCATTTTAGTTTTGCCAGTACGTTGTCATTTCTTCAGACCTCTTTGGCAGAAATGAAAGATAAGACGACGCTAAGACAAATAGAGAGTAACTGCATGACGTGAATACAATCAGACCTAAAATGAGCTTGCGTGTGTATCGTGGATGACCGAGGCAGGTTGATACATACAGAGACCTTTTTGTTCGGCTGCTTGTAAGCCGATCCCGTTAATGAGCCGGCCGGCCGGCCAGCAGCCTTGCACAACAGCCTGCTGGTGGAGACTTCAGGTGTAACTTTACAGTTGCTCTGCTTCAGCTTACCACTGACTTCAGCCTGATTGTTTTACAGCATTAAAACCCCCTACCTGCATGCACTCAATTAGTCTGCCCGTGATGACATGGGGGGCAGGGGGGGGGGTGGATTGGTGTACCTTGCCGATTGCAAATGGCACATAAATAGGAAACCGCAACATGACATCTGCTAGGAAATCTGTCAGTTTCAAATCCTATCAAAGATTTGGGCCGTATAGCCAAGGTCAAAGTGGTGTGGATTTGTGTTCCGTGTGGGAACGGAGGTTGTTTGATGCAGCTGAAGCGAGTGTGATATAGGCACCACACTTTAGAGCACATGGCCCCATACTCACAGTGTCGCTGATACTGCAGCCGACACACACACCAGCCGTCCTCATTTGTGTACAAAACAGTGTTGCCAACTCGTTTTTTGAGGATATTGTTAAAGGAGGATGGATTTGTTGCTAAAAAGTTGCTTAATGACATTTCCATCTTTGTGGCTTTTCTCAAACTAATCGTCCATCTCAGGAAAAATGTTTTGCAGTTGTGCCTTGATTTATGAGTTGAATTCATTACATGACCACGTTTGTAACTCAAAACATCACAAATCAGTTTTCACCATTAAAATTGATGCAAATGTAATCAATTGGTTCCTCACAATACGCTTCCACCCCAAAAAAAGTTTAATTTTTTTTCTCTTTTTAAATAAAATAACACTCGACTATTTTGTACATGACTAATGCATATACACTGTTAAAAAAAAAATTGCGTGAACTCAAAATTTCAAGGCAATAAATTTCAAGCCGCGCAATCCAACTAAATAAACTGATTTTTCATAAACACCCGGACGGATTTACGACCCCAAAGCCTGAACTGTCAAACTGATTCTCCTTGGTCGGAGGCTTTGTTGAGTCCGTTTGTCCTGCATCTCGGTGTAAACCACAAATCGCTATCTCATCCCCTCACAGGTTCCTTTGACTCCTGCAGCCTAACCGCAGAGTGACAACGCCCCCCCCACCCCCACTCCCCCAACCCGGCCCCTCGTAAACCATCTCTACATGACTGCTCCATTCTGATTTGAGTCAGAACAGAAATTGTTGACATAAAATATATCAAACTCGCTGGAAGCAATGCAGGTAAGAGAAATGCTCCAAAATCAAGCCAATCGACTGTTGAGAATGAACGAATACAATTTCACATGCCACCATTTTTAACCAACTTCACCTTGGAGGTGGCTCGAGTGCAACCCGCAGATAGGAGCAGAGTGTGAACGCAGTGAATATGATTTTCTGGATGCCGCTACACCACAAGACTCTTGTTCTTCTTTCACACAGGAGCTGGTCTGACACCTTGTTTATTTTTTCGCCTGCTCTCACACCAAATCGTACCGCATGTCATTTCTTTGCTTTTTGTTACTGATTTGACGGTATTGGGTCTTGGACAGTTGTGGGGTGGGGTGGGTGGTGGTGCAACAAAATACCAATTCTTCGCCCCACCCGGGGCCAGTACAAGACAGACATACAGATTTACTATACGAAGTAATATGAGTTGTTCTTTGCAGAGGATAAAGAATAAATGACTGTGAGCAGAAGTTATGAGTTATAAAGCAGAAAAAAAACATATGATTGTGTCTGAGAATCAGATTTGTTGGCCAGGTATGTAGAACACACCAGAAATTTACTTTCCCAGTTACAACCCGTCCTGTGGCACATAAGCAAAACAACGACCAAGAGAGGCAGACAGAACAGGAAGCCTGTATGTAAAAAAACAAACAAACAAACAAACAAACAAACAAAGTGAATGTATCTAATTAACAATCGATTGGTATCTTTTGCCATTTAAGTGCATTTCAGGGACTATGCCTTTTCACTTTCACTTAAATAAATCAGTTGTTTTACACAAGTACCAGTACTTTGACTTAAGTATACCTTGTGAGTACTCTTGCAGCCTCTGTTCTTGGATTATATAACACAGCGATGCTGAAACTAAGGTCATACCCTTGAAAGTGTGAACAACGGAAGAAACACTCCACACCAAACTGGATGCTGGGATTTATGATTTAAACAGTCCACAAATCAACCCCACTCATCCATCACTGTGATCAGCAGGTCCCCCTTGTTTGCAAGCAGCCCGTTTCTGGTTGTAAATCTACCCCCGCTTCGGACCTCATCCAGGGAACGTTGGAGTGTGGATGTGAAGAAAGCTGCGCACGACTTCCTGGTCATTGTGTGTCTCTGTGCGTGTCTTTTGGAAGGTCAGAGTTCATGCCTGGGGCTCATTCATATGTTTGTACAGGTGTTTCTTTTCTGTATTTGACATGTAAGAAAAGCGTTAAGGCCAGGATCTTTGTTCCGCTAACTGATATTGTTGCCATAGATGTCAATAATTTCTATTTGAAAGTTTTTCCATGGGAGTCAGCGCACACCTGCCGTCATTTAATCTGCCTCTGAGGTATTGCAATTTCACTTATTAGCATAAGTTCAGATGTTCTAGTAGACTTTTCCTGACTTTTTTTTTTGCTTTCTAACAAGCTTAACGTTTTGTTTTTTTTGCAACTGACTGCTCTTTAGAAATGTTCCAAATTCCTTCCACGTCAATCAAGGGCCCCATTTGTTCTTTTGCCGTTAGGCAGTGTTGCGTTTGCAAAACATAACATTTTGGAAGGGTGGCCAAAAAGTTCAACCTTGGTACTCACTAGAATTAGCAACCGCTCCCAAATACAAACCATACCCACAGGATAACATCAGTGTTCAACATTTTTTTTTTATTTAATTAATTTCATTATGACCGAAACAGTTAAAGCTTATTTTTAAAATTCCTCAAACAAAAGCGAAGAAAATATTTGACATTTTATGATCACATGATTAATATCTGTCTGTTCTTATGTTAATTAGCGGACTACTTTCACATTTTCACACAGACACACACACACAGACACACACACAAATGCTCCCAATACGTCTATAGGGAGTACTGACCGAGACATCGACTCAGCATCACATCACACCGTTTACTGTGTAACCGCTGAAATGTATGGCACTCAGATGACTGGACGTTTGCTTTCTCCTCGTTGTGAAATCAGTTCTGCAGAAAGCAAGCTTGAACGTTTTGTGAAGAGTGACTTTTGACTTTTCTTATCGCTCTGTGAGAACGCCAGAGAGTGACACTGAGATATTTTATCTGACTGCAACTGTAAAGCAGAAGATTTTGCTTCTGCTTTTTGGTTGTATTTTTGTGTCAACTCACCCTTCATAGTTCATCATTTAGATGAAGAAAAGATTTTTGTGCAACGCAGAGGTTGGCTTGAAATATCTGTTAGTTCCACTTGTTGATACACTTCACTCTGGAGTCAGCCTGCAAACATCTCGATTTGGTTCAAACTGTTGCTGCTCGTCTCTTAACTGGAACACATTAGCACATAAATCCTCTTCTGGTCTCTCTTCGCTGGCTGCCCGTATAGTTTAGATTTCATTTCAGATTTTACTGGTTGTTTTTATGGAAACATATCATATCATGAAAGTAGGACATTTAAGTAGTAGGTTGCACTGGTGATTTCATCCTCTCAAACAATTCATTGAAACAAGCATTAACAACAAAGGTACCCCACAACCAAAAAATGTCAACGTTCGGCAACTTGTCATGTGCCCTTAAGCATCAATTACAGCTTGACGACGACATTTCATGTTTACAAGTCGACTTATTGTCTGCTAAGGCCTGGCATCCCACTTGTCTTGAAGGGCAGCCCTTTGGTCATTGAGATTCTGTGGCGCATGCAATGTTTGGAGCCTCTACACGGCACACTCAACTGATCCCCCAGGTTTTCAAAAGGATTCAGGTCTGGAGAAAGTGCAGGCCATTCCATTTGAAACTATATATATTTAAAAAAATGTTTGTTGAAAATTGTTTTTCCAACATGCAGGGGGATTACAGTAAGTATGTATACTGTAAAAACACATGATTTTCCTATTCAAAATGAAGTGTTACATTTGTGCAATAACATTCACACGGGTCCCTCGCAACCATGACTTTGATGGGTGTTTGAGTGTCAGATGTCTAGGAAGAGGTGGGTCCACAGTGTGAGAAATGTCATATTTCCTCTTTCTGTTGCTCATGTTGTTCGATTTAAACCACCATTGCTAAACTTTAGCTCCCCACTTACTCCTCTTGTATGAGTCACACTGGCAAAATCAATCACCCTACGAGTCAGACAGTTCTAAATGTGTACACAGATTTGAGGCTTTCAATGTTGCCTTTATTGCAGTTGTAGAGAAATACACTTGTTATGAATTCCTGGCCTAGATATATTGATGCTAAATGGTATTAGTTAGGACCTTTCTTTAAACATAATAGCCAATACTAAGCAGGCCATACTCGGAAAATGTAATTTACAAATTGATCTGCTAGTAAGCTAGATAAATTACTTATGGAATATAATCAGTACAGTACTTGTCATATGGAGGATTAACGCTATACAATACAGTCCCCAGACATTGGTACGCCTTTATTTATTTATTTTTTGTATAAATACGAACATTCTTACGGTTCTTTTGGTGTACCTGAATATTTATATCCTGTTGCTGTGGTGAGTTTTATTTGTCTTTTTGCAAATCGTGTCTGGTTCATTTTTGGGTGGCAATTCATTAATGTTTTCGTCTAATTTATTTTTCCTTTTCTGCAGGGAGGATTAAAAACAAATCTGAACACCAATAGTGAGTAAGTATGTTTGTATTGTGCTGCCCTCTGTTGGTTTGTCGTCATGCCTCCAATGCTCTAGGGGGCGCTTACGTACCGATGCTGTTCTAAACAACCGGATAATTTCCGCTAAAGATTCCCAAATACTGTTATTGAATCGGTGGAGAAAGAGTGAAAAAACCCTCTATAATGGTGAGTGAACCTTCATGATTTCGAATGTTTTTATCCGTTGTGTATGTATACGTGTCGGTTTTTCATGTTAGAGGACCGTTCGCAGTGTTTTGACGGTCGGATGGCGCCTGATAAATGCCACGGCGTTTAGTTCCAGCGTGGCGGTTTTCGTCGCCGACGAACCTCAAGCTGACCTAATAAAATCTTCGCAAAATCATGTAAACATTCCGATGTGTAAACAGGACGTGGCATTTTGGGGGCTTCCTAACAGACATTTGAACGCGTCTTGTCTTTTCAGGGTTTCGTGAAAGTGGTGAAGAACAAGGCTTATTTCAAGAGATACGAAGTCAAATTCAGGCGAAGGAGAGGTAAACATTTATGTAGCAGTGTTGATACTAACGTTAAAAAATAGCAGCTAAAGAAATGATGCAACCCTTTTACTCAAGTAAAAGAAAAATATATATACAATAAAAAATACAGACTCTGAGATGCCCTTAATACAAAATTATAAGAATATAGTTCATATGCGATACCGGTTATGGTATTGGCACGCAAAATTATCTGTAGTTGAAGAACAAACAATATCCTCATAAAATATTTACTTACTTCAACACAAATAACAGTGTGCTAAATCAAAACAGTGTCTAAAAAGCCTCTTTTGACAAAGTGAGGAGTAGAATGTGCAGATATGTTTTTAAATGTCTAGAGGAAAAGTAAATAAAAGTCATTAGGGAGGGAAAGTACCTCAAATTTAGTGTGTGTGTGTGTATATATATATATATATATAGTGCATTGATGTATATTGTCCATTCAAGATGAGGGCTGAGAGAAGCAATAGTACCATCTCACCTGGTATCTCAATTATTACTATGTATAGTGAAATAATGAGGATCCCGTCTAAATTGGCTGGAGATACTAAATACTTTGATGTTTAAAGAAAAAAAAAATCCACCAACAAAGAATTCAAAACTAAACATGACAATGTACATATGGCATGTCCACTAATGCACTCCAACTGTATTTGTATTGTGTCAAAGTAACTATTCTGTGTTTCAGAGGGCAAAACGGACTACTATGCTCGCAAACGACTGGTTGTCCAGGACAAGAATAAGTACAACACACCCAAGTACCGTCTGATCGTCCGCTTGTCCAACAGGGATATCTGCTGCCAGGTCATCTGCGGGAAGATCTGAGTAGGTCTCATGTACTCTGATGACTCCTTTAATTTATTATATATCTTAACAGATTGCCTATGCAAAGATTGAGGGAGACCACACTGTGTGTGCCGCTTACTCCCACGAGCTTCCTAAATATGGCATCGCTGTAGGTCTCACAAACTATGCCGCCGCCTACTGCACTGGACTGCTGCTTGCCCGCCGGGTAAGAGCTAAAGCACATGTTCCTTACTCTTGTTTTATCATTCGCGCTTATTTTACAGAACTCCTAAAAGTCAATAAATATGACGTCGTTTATTACAAGCGAGTAGGAGCCCAGTCTGAGAAGAACCGTTCTGAGGGCTGTTTTCTTTGCCTCAGCTGTTGCACAAGTTCGGCATGGATCAGGTGTACGAGGGTCAGGTGGAGGTGACGGGTGACGAGTTCAACGTGGAGAGCGTGGACGGTCAGCCAGGCGCCTTCACCTGCTACCTGGATGCGGGGCTGGCCAGAACCACCACGGGGAACAAAGTTTTCGGAGCGCTGAAAGGAGCGCTTGACGGAGGGCTGGCCATTCCTCACAGGTCAGTGGTACATGACTTTCTGGACATCTTTCCAACTGAAAGATTGTTTAGGTGGTAACTTTTGCTCGGTCCAATTTATGTGAGGTGGTTCTCTGCGTCTTGATGATGATCCCAAGCACGCTGAGCAAAACGTAGTTGGTCCTTCGTTTGCGTCGGCTGATGTTTCTTGTCCTTTCAAGACGGGGCTGAGAGAAACAGCAGAACCAGCCTGCCTGATGTGATCAATGAAGTCAGTGTTTTACAAGCTTTATTGGGCAAAGACACGTGTTTGACTTTTGAAAAATCAAATGTCACACAACACAAAAGCTGTCTCAAAAGGTGAATAGTGATTTTGAACTGGTGGAAAGAAAATGTCGTTGTCATATCGAATCCGAGGATCACAAAATGTCACTGACATGCTGTGCAGTCACATAAACAAGGATACTTTGTTTGAAATTGGCTCATGAATCACCAATCATCCGCTATCGCACATTTGATCTGAAAACATGAACCACAAATGCTCTCTCTTTGCTCTTGGCAATGTGGTTCCCTATCACTGATGTCTTTTCATTATGTGTGATATAATCCTTGACTGCGAATGAGCCGCTGAGGTCTGGTCTGCCTGTCGTCCGCAGCCTGAAACGCTTCCCCGGGTACGACGCGGAGAGCAAAGAGTTTAACGCCGAGGTGCATCGGAAGCACATCATGGGCATGAACGTGGCCAACTACATGTCTTACCTGATGGTGGAGGACGAGGACGCCTACAAGAGGCAATTTTCACGCTTCATTAAGAACGGCGTCACGCCAGACACGGTACGACCGCGGCCCAAGTTTCACTCTTTTGCGCCGTCCAGTCAAACCACACGTAGGCCCGCTTCTTATGACGTAACGGCGGTTCTCATGCTTCTCTGTGATGATCCAAAACGCGCTGAGCAAAACGTAGTTGGTCCTTCGTTTGCGGCGGCTGATGTTTACTGTCCTTTCAAGACGGGGCTGAGAGAAGCACGATGCTCGTCCGTAGTTCTAGCACACAACGTCATGACATGAAGAGTATTTTTATTTTATTTTTTCCCCTCACTTTTCAGGTAGAGGAAATGTACAAAAAAGGACACGCCGCTATCAGAGTGAACCCTGTTCATGTAAAGAAACCCAAGAAAGAAGTCCTCAACAAGAAAAGGTGGGGTTGTTTGTATAAGTATTATTTCCCTTCAAATCAAGTGACGAAAGTTGCACGCCTCACACAAAACTTCGGCTTGTGACAATGTATCTAATGTACAATCAGTCCATCAATATTTGTCGTCGCTCATCCTTCTGTCAAACGTTCACGGTGCCACTCTGCTCCTCTCTTGGGCAGATGGAACCGCGCCAAAATGTCCCTGGCACAAAGGAAGAACCGCGTCGCCCAGAAAAAGGCCAGCTTCTTACGAGCGCAAGAGCGAGAGGCCGCGGACGGTTAGCCGCCCCGGTCCGGCGCACCGGCGCACATCACAGACAAATAAAATGTATTCCAAAAGCAACTTCAGTCTTTGTCGTCGGAGACTTTGTGCAATATTGATGGCACGTTTGCACATTTGCTCGTGTGACACGTACACGGCTCACAAAATGTTCGGGATAGTTGACTCTTAGGTGAAAAATGCACAATAACTTTTGTGAACTAAATTCGAAACTTTTGAAACCACACTTGCCCAAATTTTCGGCTTTTCAGTATTTGTCTTCACACGACTTGGACGGCAAAATTCACAATAGTTCTCTGGTAAGAAAGCGAGCACCGTCATTGTATTTCAGTTATGCTTTATTCATGCTTCAACCTCAGATTTCACCCCTTTCCATGTCCCACTTCGGTGACTCAAAAAAAAAAAAAAGGAAATGAGGCATGTGGTGAAAGACAGCAAAAGTGTGTGCACTGTATTCTCAGTTGTGCAAAATCATGCGTGCGTTTTTCTGCCCAAACCTCTCGTTCCGCACAGCAGCATTGAGTGTTCCTTCAGCTTTTCTCGAGAGCTCACAACAAGTTTTCCAAAATTCATCGCCAAGAGACCTTGTGCATTTTTTTTTTTGATACATTGCGAAAAAGCTTCGCTTCAAACATTCATCAGACTATTTCAGCATGTGTTTTACGGCACCGTGATAGGCCAAACCCGGAAATGAGGCGGCGCAATCAGTCATTCTTTTTCTAGAAAAAAAAAAGTGGCTAACATTCACGAATAACTGTACAGCTCTGATCATTAATATTCGAGTTCATGTGTAACACAAACACTGAACAAAAATGGCGGCCCAAGGCTCGAAAGGAAAAAGCCTTCTTGTCTCACGGGTGAACGATTGTGCTTCTTGATCGTAGATTGACAAGTCAGTTGCTTAGCAATGCCCAAAATGTCCCACTCTTGAGTACTGAAATCCATTGAGAATGTGACATTGAAGAAGCAGCGGGTGGGCTTCCAAATTTGGAACAAAACCCATCATGGGACCAGTCAAGGGTTTTGACAATGTAACAAGGAACGGGGGGGGTAGCGGAAGGTTCACAACTAATCCAACATCTGAATACGTCGCTCAAAAACAAAACATGCAAAAGTCAATACATTAAACGGGGTCCTTCCATTATTTCACCGACAGGAAGTTAAAAAAAATAAAGATCCATATAGTAAGTTTGAACGCAATTGTCAAGGATATCAGGATTAAGATTCAGGTGGGACTGAAGGAAATTATAAAGACCAACCTGTGATTGATTTAACAGGGAAGCCTTGTGAACTTTTGCGCATGTATTGCATCACCTCATTAGATCGAGTAGAATTGGACTTTGGGGTGAATTTTCAGGATGAATCTAAAATACATGATAACCTTTACCGGTGAACTTAATTGACCTTCACTGAGCTCCAACTGTTCAACGTTTCGCTACTTTTTTGCACAAGGAGCCGAGTGACAACACTGTCCAGTCTCTCTGTTGTCGTTCGGCTCCTTGCGAGAGAACAGCGAGGTGCGCATGAACTACTGAAACAAAACCAGGGCTGGAAATGATCAATAGAATTCTTTGTTCAGTTTCTTGTTGGAGAACAGCAAATTGTGTTGTACCAAATTAAGTTTGAAACGATTTACTACGGAAATCAATTAGAATAATTTGATTCCATAAACGGCTTAAGAAAACATATGACCAAGTTTGATGTGTTGTGGGTTTTTCTGTTCAGCGCCTTATCAGGAAAAACAAAGTTGTGCAAAAATGATGGATGGAAACAATCAAATCATTTGATGACAAAAGAAAAGCCATATGGCCAGCCCCAGTTGTTGTGAATTTTCCTCTTCAGCTCCTTAACAGAGAACAGCTGGCTCTGCTAAAAGTGTTGAAACAAAATTTGGTGTTGAAATTATTCATCAAGTCATTTGAGTAACTACAAAAGAAAGCTAAGCACAAAAGACAAAAAAAAAAAAAAATCCCATCTCACCCAAGCCGATGTGTTGTGAATTCCTCTGTTCAGCTCTTTGTGATTGAACACTTTGACGTGCACGCGCTCAAAAGTGGAGAGGTCAAATGAAGTTCCATGACAACAAGTTATAGTGAATTTTCAGTTCACCCGCAACTTAACTTTCAAGTCCCAAGGACCAATATCCCGAATGTTTTTGTGTGATTAGTGTCACGTGAAATGTGCTCTTGTTGACATGTCGTATCACAGCGTTGTCAGACGAGACTGCGACCGGCTCACGAGTCCTTCGTGTGCGAGATCTGTCTCCACAGCAGAGCCTTCAAGTTGTTGAGTAGCAGTGAGTGCTCCATGTTCAGCTGGCCGGCGTCGCCCTTGAGGGCCATGCAGGCGTACAGCTGCCTCTCCAGCTCCTCCCGCAGAGCAGACGGCGCCCCGTGCAGCAGGTAGTCCTTCAGCGTACCGCACGCTTTGGCCAGATTGGGCCGGACGGGCTCCTCCCTGCAGCGCTTCTCGGCGGCGTTGCATGACGTCCGGCAGTCGGCCCCGTACACGCATTCGGCGTCCGTCTCGCAGCGCAGCGCCCGCATGCCCCGCCGGAACTGGCTTTCCGGCACCACGGCCCGGGTGTCGGTGAGGCGCAGCTCGTGGCCGTCGGTGTAGCCGAAGCGAGCCGCCGCCAAGTCGCAGATGAGGAAGCTGCCGTACGTGCCGTGGAAGACGTCCTCCACCAGCTCCAGGAGGCCCATGGAGATCTTGGCTTTGCGAGGCCACGACGGAGCGAACCACTGGTCCACGGTGCGCCGTAGGCCACCGGGGACCCAGGACACCAGCGGCCAAGGTATGGAGAAACCGTACAGGGGACCGTGGGGGACCCTTTCCGTCATGTAGAGGTCGCCGCAGTAGCCCAGGAGGCGAGGGGTGTGGCCGCGCTCCTGAAGCAGCAGGCCCAGAAGCACCTGAGAGAAGAGTAGCGGCTAATTGCGCGCTGTCGACTCGCAAAAATCATTCAAGCACCAACTTCAGGACAGAAGTATTTGCAGTTTGCCAGTTGCCACCGCTGCTCTGCGCCACCAAGGAAATATTGAAATATTCGACCTCGTCAATCTGCAGGAGGGCCCACGTGGAGCGAGCTTCTGGTAGGGACACTTTTCCGTCTTTGTTGCCGTCCGCCACCGACAGGATCACGCTCACCAGACCGCCGAGGTTAGCCTGATCTCCGAGCTTGGACTAGAAAGGTCACACACACACACACACACACACACACACACACACACACACACGCAAGGTGTCAAGTGAGAGAATTTACTAGCTGTACATATAGAGCTTTGCATTTGTATTTTTTTTTTTTATTTGTTTACCTTGACATGATGAAAGACCATCTCTCGGAACTTCTCCACCGACGTCCCTTTGGTGGGGGTCTCGAAAACAGGCGCCTCCCTGTGCGGCTCCGGCTCCTCGCCCATCTCATAGTGTGTCACTTCCCCCAAATGGCAGCGAACGATTCCTTCGTGATCACCCCAACTTCCCGTGTACACCTGGCAAAGAGCGAGATTGTCGATTTTAATTGCGAATGGGGTGCCGATGCTGTGACGAACAGCCTTGCTCCGACTAACCCAACAGATGATGCAAAAAATGCTGGCGTGAAAACCTGTATGGGAGGAATGTGAAATCTGATTGGTTAAAGAAACAGTCCAATTGTAATATAGTTTAATTCACTTGAGTCGGCATTTCTGATTCTGAAAGCCTTTGGCAGATTAGATTACCACGGCAACAGATAGAAGCTAAAATCTGATTGGACAAAGAAATCTAAGATCCACATACTGGAAGCAGTGCAGCCGAGAGAAAGTCGATGAAATGAAGCGAATCGGCTGCGGGACATGAATGAATACAATTTCTTGGAACAAATATAAGAATTTGAATTGTAAATGTAAGGCCCTACTTGTGGATCGAAAAAGATGGTCTCCTACCTGGTTGTTTGGCAGCGTTGACAGACATCTGCTCATGTAGAATGTGTCTTTATCACACAGGCTACTGCAGGCCGAGCCGTCAATGATTCCTCGCCTGTATTTGTCACACTTGAAGGCGAAGACAATACACGAGTGGGACATCACGTTCAGTCACTGACAGGTCACAAAGAGGTCGATTGGCATCAAATTACGTTCGACTGAAGCATGAAAGAACTCGGCACCTGCTAGCGTGAACAAATGTTTGGATGAAGGCAGTTTATTGATTTACCACTTCCTATCTGAGCTTTAGGCCAGTTAAAAGTTACGATACGATGGGGATATTTCACCAGCAGCTCCAAAATTAATACATGCGTTAAACTGCAATTACCGTTCTGTAGGCAGGGTGGCGCAAATTAGTGAGAGGCCAATAAAACAACAACTACCGGCTGGAGAACCGGCCAATATATTGCATAAGAACATCGGCAGACTGTCGTGACATCGCGGTGTGTTCATTCCCTTGAAGGCGAAGACAATACACGAGTGGGACATCACGTTCAGTCACTGACAGGTCACAAAGAGGTCGATTGGCATCAAATTACGTTCGACTGAAGCATGAAAGAACTCGGCACCTGCTAGCGTGAACAAATGTTTGGATGAAGGCAGTTTATTGATTTACCACTTCCTATCTGAGCTTTAGGCCAGTTAAAAGTTACGATACGATGGGGATATTTCACCAGCAGCTCCAAAATTAATACATGCGTTAAACTGCAATTACCGTTCTATAGGCAGGGCGGCGCAAATTAACAAGAGGCCAATTAAACAACTACCGACCGTAGAACCGGCCAATATATTGCGGAAGAACATCGGCAGACTGTCGTGACATCGCGGTGTGTTCATTCCAAAAATCAATGTGAATCCCCCAACGAGCCCGAGCTGATCGATAACTCACAATGGCATTTTTGCACTGGTGTCCTCGGCACAGCTCCGTGTAGGCCGAGTATTGCACGTAGAGTACCCAGCTCCCCACTAACACCGTCAGCCAGGTGAGGAACAAGTACTTCACCCTCACAAAGTAAATACGAGCCTGCGGAGAGAAGACAAGAGCAATTGCTTCACTCCAATTTTTGCTCGCAGCTCGGATCTTGAAAATTCACAAGCCAAGTCACTCTTAAGTCAAGACAGTTTTTTTAAGACACGTCACAAGGAAGCAGTGACAGCTCCGGCGAAGGCTGTAGTGATAGCCGAAACTGCCAGCTCGGTAAGAGTTTTTCTCTTCACAGAAAAAAAAAAAGACCCCTTAAACCTAAGCCAAGTGAATTGCTACAAAATGAATAGACTGCTGTTCGTAAATGCAATTTCATGGAACAAATACTGTATTATAATTGTGGTTTTTAAATATAGGTCAATGCGTATACTATTTAGCAAAAAGTGGTCCAACTTGCTGTCACCAACATTCCGCGGCTTCCATGAGGGCCAAAATGTGGTTGTTCAAGCACTTTACAGTACAATGCAATTTTTAAAAATTCAACTTGGTTCCCAAATCTCAAAACAAGATGTGCCCAGTCAGGCAGTGTTTTATTATTTGAGAGAGGCTGTGAAAGGAAGTACATTTCTAATTTTGTTTTTGAGCTAAAAAAAAAAAGGCTTGGGAAACGTTGACTGTATTAACAACTCAAGTCTGGGTCCTTCTAATCCACTTGGTTACGGATTACAAGCACATGACCTGTTGTCAAAAGTGTCATGAGGGCAGCAACATTCATGAAAAGGAAAAGAAGGTCGAGCAACACCAGATTTCCTTCCTCGCCTTTCATCCATTTGACCCACATAGCTCCCGAAGAGCACTTTCGGCTGGCGACTTGAAACACAACTCAGACCTGAAAATGAGCGTGTAAAGAAGAAACGGTGGGCCCGAGGGGAGCGACGGTATCACCGGAGAAGATAACATCACAGTACAACCACACTTTGACCTCCTTTGGTTCGGATAATGAGTAGATTTGGCATTCAATCTGATGGACCTTGATATGAAGAAAAAAAAAAAGTTCCTCACCCGGAGCACTGGAGATAGGAAACTAAAATTAAAAAATAAAAATTTCAGAAGAAATGACATAAGCGCACTTATGACAAACCCATCCGAAGTGTAAATTTACTGGAAACATTCTGGATGGACATTGAAGAACCTCAAAACGATGAGGCAAACGTGCTAAGCACTCGACCGCCGTGCTGCCCTCTATGAAAAAAAACCCTCGAGCAAATATGCAAAACCACATCACAAATCATTCGGTATTTAGGAACTAGCCATGTTAATCCTCATGAGTGTTCCGCGCCGGACTGCAGCAAAGGCAAGAGGCCATCGGCATTATGTTCAGACGTTGCCAGGCAACCTGTTGCTCGTAGACCCGACGAGGTTACAACGTACAACTGAACGTCCGCGACCGCCATTCTTTTTCTTTCCTCTCACCGATAAAATGTAGATTGAAATTCATTTTTGTCTCTCACCTTGACTCCAGTATCTTACCTATGGCAAAAATGCATCAATGAGACTTAACCGTGTTATTCTCATAACAATACTTTTTTTCCCCTCTGAAATATGAATTTGTTCTTGCAACAGCTTTACTTGAAAATAGGCAACTTTTTAATTGCTACGCCAATTGGTGATACCGATGCGAGTTGTGTTTAACTGCCGTCGGCGATATGATGGGTGGTCCTTGGGGGGAGAAGAAAAAAATCTCCTAGGCAACTCGTCCCTGGAACCTAAATTTCGACAACCTTTGCCTTAAAACTAGCATAGGGGCGGGGTCACAAAACGAGTTGCACTGGATTACGATGAGGGCAAAGCAGTTGCCCGTATTTGGAGGTTCTGAGGAAGCAGCATAGTGGGTAGTAAAAATGTAGATTTTGTCACTGGTTAGACCGCACAGATGCATCTTTTATTGAAAAAAAAATAACACCCTGACTTTTCTCAATTTAAGAAAGTGGGGCATGAGACCAGCGGCAGAGAAACACTCATGGCTCGCCGGAAACTTGAGATAGTTTAATAATGCCGTGACTTGTAAAGAAGTCCACCAATATATCCCTCTGGCAGCTCCTCTCCAGTTGGAGGTGCGTGTCTGATGTCACGCCACTGCTCTCAAATACAACATTTTCCAATTCGGGGCACCGCACAGCAACGCTTCACTCCGTGTTCCCTGCCCCTTGCACAATGAATGAGTTTGACGGCGGCACGTTGCGACCCTGCTAAATGCAACGTGAAAAGGGCTAAAGACACGAACACTTTATCAGCATTCTCTGGCCCTCCTGGAAGCATTCATACGGGCTCCTCCGCAACCCCGTCGCCATCTTGATGTCGTCCATGTTTTCAAAATGGGTCCCGTGTTGGGGGGGTCGGGGGTGGGGGTTGCTCCAGGAAGACTATGTTGTTCTTGGCCGGGAACTGTCAGATGCTTAGTGAGCAGGCGCCAGTTGTCCTGCCACAACTCTCACCTCTTCTCGTGCACTGAACGAAGCAAACGTGCCGGTTGATCGTCTTTACACTTACTGGGAAAACATAGCATGTAATTTGGGTTTCAAATATGTCTTTTGTGACATCAGTCCTGGAAGTTTTGTGACACAGCTCGTTTACCTTTTGCTGTAAAAAAATGCTCACAATGCAGCCTCCAACCCTCGCTGGGTTTTTTTTTTTTGTGGATAAAATCAGAATACTGGCGTGCCTAAGTCCCTGCACTGACAGACGCTGTGGGTAAACAAACTCTTAATCTCGCATGTGATCGTTGAAGCTTTTTGGGTCAAGGGGACAGTTTTTCGTCGGCATTCCTCAGGTCTTATAAAACCGAGGAAAAGCTCGTTTACCGCCAGCTGTCAGCCTTATGTGATTTATTCCATACGCTTCTGCTTCTCCTTCAAAGCACATACACACGCACACACACATCCAAATATACACCAAGCTGTCTTACCTGGAAATAGAATGACTTCTTCACCCAGGCCAGTGGAAACAGCCCCTTCGCCATCACAAAAATAGATCATCTCAAAACTGGAGAACATCAGCCAAGATCAGCCACCGCAGGATCGAGCTTCTCGCCTCGCATGCACAACGAATAGAAATGAATGAACGGTATTTTATATGAATAATGTTCCTTCGGTCACTGTGTGCGGTGCGATGCGATGCGATGTCTGTCTGCACATTGGCAGCTTGGCTCCGGCAGCTGCTTTTTGCAAGGAAACCCAAGTTTCCCACCCGCTCGACCCAAAAGCAGAAAACAGCAGCACCGACTCGGATCAGTGCGCAGGCGCGGTGTTTACGGAGCAATTTTTAAAAAAAGGCAGTTTCTAGTCTACCTGAAATCGATTCAAAGCGTGTACGCCATAGTTCATTTTCCAGTGGCTAGTATACGAAAAACGTGTCATAAAATTGAGTGTCTTTTCAGTTTGAAACTGTTTGCGTGCGTCAATTATTTTCCGTTGTCTTTCAAAATAAAAGCACAACGTATCGACAGCACTTCCGCTAAAGGTAATGTCAAAATTCAAAGCTGTATTTTTTCCCCCCCAACTACAACTGTTCTCACATTGAGAACGTACAGCAATTAAACTCCAGTTATTGGGTCAAAAACAAAGCAGCTCAACTTTAGGTACTCAACTTTATTCCTAGAGCACAAAACAACTGCAAATCTAACAAGGTGCTGTACATAATAAAGCCCAAAAATAAAACACACCATTGTAAAGAAATATTCCTTTATATTTAAAACATAGTGTACTACCTGCCCTCTACAAGCCCCTAGTCGTGTGGGAAGTGAAGGGAAAATACCAAAATAATAAGCATCACAAATGAAAGGACATTGATTCTCGCTTCTTTCATCGAGAACTGCTTCAAACGACAAGGCGAATGCAGGAGCAGTGGAACACTGACACGATTGCATGACTGTCCATGTCTTATTTTATGTTGTTATATTACCGTATTTTGTTATTTTATGTTAGCCGTTCCGTAAAGAACTTTGTTACAGCCGCAGCTTTTGTTAAATCGCTGTATAAATACAGATGTATTGTGTATTATCTAAATAAATAAATCAATAGTTAGTACATACAAAACTAAATGGAATACTCCATGATACATTTAATTATCATACATATGGCAATTTATGCCAACCGCCAACATACAAAAGCGCGTCTACACGTCCGCTTGTCGTTTTCTATGTCCCCAGAGAAAAATGAAAACGGATGAGGGAGCGAGGTAGCCGTTAAAGCTCTTCTCTTCCCACAATGCACTCGCCGAGCCGTCAGCGGGAAACCAAAATGGCGAACATGCTCGGGGTAAATGAACCGTTTGTTATTTTCTGAGAACGGCGCAGAGTCGACACGTTTTAGCCACTCTCGTTTGTTGTAAAAACCCCTCAGGCGACCCGAGAAGCACGAGAGCCACACGCGAACACCGACTTTGTTTACTCTCGTGAGCTGTAGAAGCGGAGGTGCCCGAATGAGGTATTGTTGTCATGTTTTGCTGTGATGGGGGGGGGGGGGGGGTCCGAGTCAATGGTCTGGTGGCCTGGCTAAAAGTCTTCGCTTCGTGGATTAATTACGTAAACATTTTGACTCTTCTCATTTTGCTTCCTCCATGTCACCTCTAGTTGGCTAGTTATCATATTTAACATGTGGTTGAGCATAGCCATCCAAACAAAGGGACAGTCCCGGAAGGACACCGACAGAAGAAACGAATATTTTAAAACGCTTCTCAACAAAAATACGCACAGTCTGTGCTTAATTAGCAGTCAAAAACCTCAGGCTAACGTATAAGTACTGATTCGACTCCTTTCAATATGAAAAGAAGGTGCCTTTTGTTTTTTACTTCCCCAGTGAATCCCCCTAAAATGCTATTTGCCATTGAACCTAATATGAATTGTCTTTAACTCTCAATACAAAACAGGTTTCCATTTGATATTTCCTTGAGGCACAAAGCCAACTGTTTAAAATATATGAACCACTGAGGTAGAAAAAATAACATTTTGACAAAGAAGAAAACTACAGATATCTGTGTTCAAACGCAAGGAGTAAAAGAAAAAAAGTAATGCGAAAAATAATTACTCAAGTACTGATAACTGAAAAATATATGTACTTAAGTGCAGAATAGTGTCTATTATTGTATTAAAGATGCATTTGTAACTGTCCATTATATGTTACGAAATGAAACTGCTTATAACCTCTTCAAACATCCCCAATGTTCCTTTTGGTAATGTTTCTGCAAATCCACGTGACCCCCCCACCCCCACCCCACATGTCGCGTCCACTCCCCCCAGAGACTCGGGTGTTCTGAGTCAACTGTCCGTCCATCAGCGATCCCACTCCTCACGGCAGCAGGCTGTTCCCTTGTCCCCCACGAGCCAAGAGAGAGTGGCCTATGGAGAACAGGGCAGGTTCACCGAGGGACAGGACGTCTTGGCCCGGTGGTCGGATGGCTTGATCTACTTGGGGACCATCGCTAAGGTCAGTGTGCAAGGAAGCGTGTGGGGTCCCAGTTTTTACACGTCTGCTGACAATTTCAACATCTTGCAGTGCAATTCTTTCCAGAGCGTTTTGGTAAAATTTTTCCCCGAAAAAAAAAAAAAGAATCAATTGATGGAATAATTTTTCTTGATTCTTGCAGATCGATCGCGACAAGCAGCGATGCTTTGTGGTGTTTGAGGATCGATCCAAATCTTGGGTTCTCTGGAAAGATATTCAGACAGGTAAGCGGGAGAAAATGAGTTTTGTGTTTTGAGATGGACAACATGGGTAGCTATGCATCTGGACCTGTCGCGCTCGCTTGCTCTTTATTTACTTTTTGTTTCAAACCATAGTGATGACGCTTTTTTTTTTTCCTCACACGTGATCACTGCTAAGTGATGGGTTGATTGAGCAAGCCATGCTGAGCTAAGTTAGCTGGAGAAATGTTAATATTAACAGAGACGGGATTCAGTGGTCAGGACAATTTAGTGTAAGATGCTTTGCTTCCGTAAAATAGTGAGAGAATGTACTCTGACAAGGCTTCAACTTCACTGCCAGTTTTCTTAAAAAGCAACAACAACAAAATAAAAAGTTTCAGTCATTATGTACAGCTTTATTTTTGTCCTTTCTTATTATAAAGCCATCCCAAACCTTGAGCATCTTTTTAATTTTTGAGTTATTGCTCCTGGAAGTCGATGCAGAAAACACAAAAGTGGCCAAACATTTTTTCCGGGCTGTCACAAATATCGTAATAAAAGTATTAATTGCAGTTTTGAAGCAGAATTTCTTTTGTTTCAACCAATTTTTGTGATCGAGTTAGCTGGCTGATCCCCCCCCCCAACCCCACTTTCTGGGTTACGACTAGCGATATCATCCATCTCTCCAAATGTTTGGCTTGAAACATCTGTGGTCTTTTTGTCCATTTTAGGGGACGAAGATGAGGAAGATGACGAGTGTGACGATATCGCGTGCTCCATATGTCAGGATGAAACTTCAGAGGAACCCAATGAGATTGTCATTTGTGACAAGTGTGGGCAAGGTATGCCTTACATTGGAACGACCCAGTTGGTGTTAACTGATCTCGCAAATAATGTGCTTATCGTCACTCAGGCTACCACCAGCTGTGCCACTCGCCCATCATTGATGCTGCTGTTATTGACTCAGACGACAAATGGCTTTGCTCTGAATGTCAGATCACTTCTTTGCCAAAGGTGCGGCTTGTTTTCAATTTCACCCTTTCGGGGACAGTGGACAGCTTATGTTATCGGGGTCGCAGGGTGCATGAAAGGGTTCAGGACAGTGAACCGTGTTTATCATTGGGGATGCTTTCCACACTCCTCGCAATAGTTGAAAATCCGCAACATCGAGAGACTCGTGTTAAAATGTTGTTTGATTATATTACTAAACCTCACAATCTCATCTCAGGCAAGTCGGCCTTTTTAATGCTAACATGTAACTCCATAGATGGATTAATGGGAAGTTTGAATAAAGCCTGTTGTAATTATAAACCTTCAAACAAGTGCTATTTTAACACACACGGAGCAGCAATGCGTACAAACATCAGACGATTGATGATTACTGAAGCTCGTTTGGGGACCTTCTCTGCCTCTTCTTGCTCTTATTATGCTGCATCTCTCCAGTAGAGATCATTGCTGTGTGGCATATTATGGCACAATGTGCGACCGCACTGAGGGTGCCTTAACTCCAAATTCAGACTTGCCCATGTGTATTGTATACGTTTGAAACTTAAAAAAAAATGTAAAGCTTAAATTTGCGTTTCAATGATATTGCCTAGGGATGAACTGCAACATGGCAGTGGAACACTGTCATACCTTAGCGTAATGCATTCAGTCACTTTTCAAGTACGCCACAAGAAATGACAAAATCACGGAAGCCACGTGAAGAATAATTTCAAAGTTGTTTTTTGTTTTTTTTTAAAGCAGGAGGAGACACAACCCATGGAGCTGTCCTTCCCATACGCCCCTGAAGAACTGGTGTGGGATGAAGACCACCGAACCAACATGCAACAGTGCTACTGCTACTGTGGAGTGCCAGGAAACCTTACAGACGCCTGGGCTAGAACCGGAAATTGGATTTGTCATCGCAGGATCCCCAACCAATCAGCTTCTGTTTATTGTGTTCCGTGCATTTATAGCTGGTACCTGAAGATGCTGCAGTGCAATAGTTGTGAGCAGTGGTTCCATGAAGCCTGCCTCCATTGCTTACCCATGCCAATGCTCTATGGAGACAGGTGAGAAGATTTTTTTCTTCACAGGTTTTCTAATTGACTGGCCCTGCACAACAATTGTAGTTGAGGACGCATGGAAATGTCGCGGTGTGGTTGACTTGCAAGGAAATTGTAGAGCCGCACTTTTGTCCAGCTCAAAAAATATTCTTCAATGCTTTTGGATATTCCTTCTGGCTAACAAAGCACCACCTTGTGAACAACAAACCACCACCTTGTGAACCTTTTCGAACTGGGTTTGAGTGATAAACCGATGCACCGGCTTGTGTTGTGTTGTCACGTTGAATGCCGTGCAAAAATAGACTCTTGTCGACAATATGAAAGACTTTTATCCGGATACGTTTTTAGACATACCACCCAGGCCGATGTCTAACACAGCTTTTGGTTTTCCTTTCTCCTTTCAGATTTTATCTTTTCGTCTGCTCTGTTTGCAACGGCGGACCAGAGTATCTGAGCCGACTGCCTCTTGGATGGTAAGCTCCTGCTTCACGGTCGTACAAACAAATCCTGTTGTTTTATTGCCATCTACTGGTTGGAAAAGGAAAAGCTTCAAATGCAACCCCCAAAATTGAATTTATAATCATGTGCGTCAACTATACAAGACAATACATTTTTACTAAGATAGCAGTTTCACAACAGCTGTAGCTGTACCTAATGCAAACATCTGTTTCCTGCCTTTCCTTGTCTTACAGGATTATAATAGCCTCTCGCATTTTCAAGCATGATTTTTTTTTTTTTTTTTACACCCACTCCCATTTTCAAGCATGATTTTTTTTTTTTTTTTTTTTTTTTTTTTACACCCACGGGTGCCATTCTAGCTTTTTTTTTTTTTTTTTTCTCCTCAATAAGCGTGAATATGTGGTCACCCCTTCTGATATTATATGTTATACCTCAGTGGGTAAATAATTCCACACGCTGGGTTTTCCTCTGTCACGCATATGATCGAGCGCCACCTAACTCACAAAATGCTGCAGGGAGGATGTGACACACCTGAGCCTCTACAACCTGACAATGATCCACAAGAAGAAGTACTTTGATTCTGAGATGGACCTGATGACTTACATCAACAACAACTGGGACCTGCTGCAGCTTGGGGAGGTATTTAAAATGATGGACCATCTGATTAAATTACAAGTTAACCTTTTTTTTTTCCCTGATGTATATATATATGTGTGTGTGTGTGTGTGTGTGTGTGTGTGTGTGTGTGTGTGTGTGTGAGAGAAAGTTATTTAAAAGGAGAAAGGTGACTGACAGCTGTTGGTTTTTCCAAACCTTTTTATTCCCCCTTTATTGAGTACAATAATAATTATTCATTTTATTTGTAGGCGTCTTTCAGGGCACTCAAGTTAGACTTTCCAAAAGTGCAAACATTGCGACATGAAATCAGAGGTCGCAGCTTAATAATAATTTAAAAAAAAGAAACTTTTGTCCTTATATCACTTCCATATTTTTAACATCATTAATAAATGGTGTCCACATGTCATCAAGTGTCCATTGTTTGACCTTTCGAATGTGCGTGATGTGTGCCGCAACTTTTAAAATCTTGATTGTCTTTGGTGTAATGTCAACAGCTTGCCGGTACACCAAGATCAATGCGATTTGCGTGTGTTCTTGAGGCCTTAAACAGCAACACAACCAAGTAGGTTCTTAACATGTGTCAGAAATATTTTTTCTTTGGTATGGCCTTCATTTCAAAGGCCAAAAAGTTTTTTTTTTTTTTTGTCACTGCTAGGTTCATGTCAGGAAAAGAGGTCAAGAAGAAGAAGCACTTGTTTGGGCTGAGGGTTCGATTCCCTCCCACTCCTCCCAGTGGAGAGCATCCAACCAGAAGATTGATGGAGCACCCCTCGGATGGGATCACTGTCAACTCAAACAAAACGTCATCCAGCATGAGGTAAGATGCGAGTTTCAAATTAAGATTTTCACCATCTTTGTGAAGAAATTAATTGTCCACTCGCGACGTGTGGTTTCTCTTGAAGCACCGTAGTGCGTGTGCATCAAAATGCACTCGCTTCGAGCTCAGGTCGTTGCATTCTATTTGTTCACCACAAAGCGGCACTAAATATGCACTGTACCTTTAACGTCTGGAGTAGCTGAGCAGCATTCAAGAACAAATCGGTACTTCATCTTGCATTGAAATGTGGGCAGCTTCCTGCGTCGGTCTGTCAGGAACTCCCTGAATGGTGAACTGAACTGGTACATTACTTGCAGTACCTACAGGACACAGAAGAAGTCCAAAAAGACGAAGCAAGCAACACGTTCACTGGAGCGCCAGGCGAAACGCAGATGTTCCAGTGAACTCCTGTCCCAGGTGTGTAGATTTGTATGTTTTAGCGGGCGGGAACTGGGTGTGAACATAGTTTTACAGAGAGAGGTAAATATTTCTTTATTGTGTCGGTGCCTCCTGGAGGAAAATTTTTGAATACAAGAAATGACAACCTCTTTTTATTGTTTGACAGGAACTAAGAAAGCCCACACCACTAGAATCCCACTCACTGGATCGCTTTTCTTCTCTCAAGTAAGGGAATCTCCTGCAAAATTACAATAACGGCCTTTAAAATGTGCTGTCGGAAGCAGTCGCACAATACGTTTGACGACGAATACTCGAGTGACTCTTTTGTCCAAATGTTGCATTTCTGTCTGAGTTTCTCGTCTCTTTTGCTTTATGATCCAGGAGTGACCGCTCTTTACTGTCATCTCAAACCTCAGATGTGGAGTCTATCGGTGCCCTTAGCACCACAGAAACTACCTCAACTAGCCTCTCAAGGCCATCCAGGTAGGCAAGCTATGCAACCTGTAGCCTCGGGGATGGGCAGGACAAGAGGGTGTTTGGTGAATTTGCATATTGACTACTTACTTGAGGATTGAGGTTATTTATCAGTGATTGCACCCTACTGTACTTTTTGTTTCAACCGGTGATAGAATGTGAGAATTTTGAAAGGCGTACCATGGATTCATAAAGGCTTGGGAAACACCGATTCAAACTAACATTCGTACCCACCAACTCCGCAGCCTGTGCAGCTCCAGCAAGACCCAATCGACTACTTCCACCATGCCTCTTTCCTCTCCACCTTTAAAAAGAAAACGCGGGCGGCCTCGGCGGCCCTTGCCGCCCCCTGACCCTGAAATCTTCCCCCCAAGCCCAGCAGACCCGAACCCTTCCGGCGCCGATGTTGTGACTCCGCTTCCGGGACTGCACTCTGCAGACATAGTTCACGGCATGGACCCCAACAGCCAGCTGTCTCACCTCAAGAGCTCAATCAGCACCTATTTCGGAGCGGCGGGAAGGCTGGCTTGCGGGGAGAAATACAAAGTCCTTGCCCGAAGGGTTACCTTGGACGGCAAGGTGCAGTACCTTATTCAGTGGGAAGGCGTCACTGCCTCCTAGGCTGGACGTGGTGTGTGGAGGACCAAGAGTGCACAAATTAAATCATCAAATACGTGCTATGAAATATTTATTTCAGTATTTGTTTTTGGTACCAGTATTTCAAATCTTATTTTGGCAATACGCATTTATTCCAATATCTAATTAAGTCACTATTTCTCATTTTGAAATATTGAAGTGATAACTATTATAAAATACATATTCAAATGGATATACAATACTGTATATTGAACTGAATAAATACTGAAATACTGTATTTCATGACACATCTATTTCATTGGGGTATTTAATTTTGGCACTGTTGGCCCTCCGTAGAGGTGTCTTGACTGTACACCCGGCCTGTAATCACAGCATTAATTGCCGTTATCCCTACAGCATAATTGTCAGAAGTCATTTTTCAGAAAAGATGGAAAAATGACAGCAACAACAACATAATTCAACAAACATGAAGAGTCCCAATTGCTTCAATGACCTGGATGACCGAGAATGTACACAGACATTAAGAATTTACTTTTATATGTAAAACAATTTTATTTTGCAAGCATATTGGTATTATTTTATTCTTTAGAAATGACTCTGGCAATTATGCCATTCGGCTAACGTAATATGTACCTTTTCAGTTTAGACCGGAGTGTTATGAAGCTTTCTGTAAAGCCTACTGGTTCAGTGCTGTTCACTGTGAATATAAAACATGCAAACATATCTTACCGGTTGTTGTTGGTATATATGAGGCTTTGGCATATTTGTATCTCTTTGCTCTTAAGCTTTTTTTTTTTTTTTTTGTCGTTGCTTGGAATGTTTACAACAAGTCCTCAGTTATGCATAAAACTGTTCAATGCACTGCGCCTGTAGGCTTTCAAAGATATGGTGTTTTATTTTAAAGTTCAGATCATATGCTTGTCAATTTCAAACCAGCTGAGTATAAAACTACATTTTTTTCTCCCGTGGAATGTAGCTTGTTAAATTTGCCAATCTGGGAGAGAATAAGGGGAAGTTTTGTTTTGCCACTGATGTTGCACCGTGAACCTTTGTGTCCACTTGGATAACATTTATTTTTGTACAGTGTTTGCAGAGTTATAACGTCCCTCTATACTTCTATACTTAAAAAAAAAAGGCAACAAAATTTGTTCGGTAGACTCTTGGTATGCAAAACCATTCTAAAAGATACGTATACACTTTGTGCTTAATTTTAGACTCCACCCAAGCTTTTTGACGGCTAAATACAAATGTTAAGTGGTGTGATTTAAATCTTAAAGGACCTATTGAGTTTTTCCTTGTTTGATAATAAAAAAATAAAAGTGCTGCATCAGTGATTTTTATACTGTTTTTTGCAGTTAATAGGTTAGCCTCTCTTAAAAAAATTGTTTTCAGTAATTCTGATTATTTTGCTTGAGGATTTCAGTTTACTTGACACGTCCTACAGTTATGTCATTTCCACTCTTAGGATATGCCAATCACCCAAGCTGTTACGGTAGAAAAATTGAGTACAGTCAACTGGAGTGTGAATATATTTTTACAGGGAACACATTTGTAATCAGTCACGCATTTGTAGATTCATGTTACGCCTTTGTGACTGTGCTTACGCTTCGGATTTATTCTATGCATTTGTGGATTGAAATACGTACATATTTCTAAACTGCTTTTGCAACAATAATGGCCCCATAGAACCGATTGTTTGTGAGTGAGTGTGGGTGTGGGGGTGTACAGATGTTTTAAGGAATATAAAGACGTTTTTGTTTTTTTTTTCACTTAATTGACAGGCTGTTCGTCCCAAATCCTTAGGCTCAGAGACCGCGAATGCGATTGGCTATTTCATCCTTCCGCCATGACTTGGCGGCCTCTGTGAAGAAACGCTTCCACCAATCATTGTCGTTTGCTTCCAACCAATCCGGAACGGATTTTAAAAAACATGGGCGGAGACAATTCAAGTTTTTGGTGGCTATTTGGCTAATGCTAAGACATCGATTAATAAGGAATTAGAAGATGAATTCAAATGAGACCGTTTTTAAAAAAAGTTAAGAAAACAACAAACACCAAGCTATTGTGCAATTTATGCACATCGCCAAGGTGGTTGTAGGGTTGGTTTTACTTTTAAAAGACCGCAGCGAAGTTATATCTCTCGGCTAGCGACCTGTTGATTAGCAACCATCGTTGTTTACATTTAGCCTACTAACAGGCTACCAATTTGTTGAAATGTATCGTTTATTCTTAAAGGTGTCCAACAAATACCAGTAAAGCCGATAATTTACCACCGTAAAAGTCGTTCACATATCCGGTTGCATTTAACCAATGATGGTGCAGAATGTTAATGACGAAGATTGATCAGACTGGACTCTTGATGAATCTTGCCTAGACTTGAAGGGCAGCAACCTGGTGAGTTCACGATGTCGCCAGCCAGCAATTTATTGCTGTATTATTGTATTAAGTTGCACGAACGTCGTACCTATAAATGCCATTGTTCGAGACTTCAATTCTTTTTGTAAGATGCTGGATTTGATCATGTTTTTTATTCTATGTAAGATTTTGTGTCTGTCTAAAGTCGTCCTTTTCAAACCACTATCTAACCATTTGGAAACTAGAAAGTCTCGTTCTTCATCCTTTGCACAAATGTTTCCTAACCTTTATTGATCGCTTATGTCTCTCCTCATCCAGTCCGCTTCGTGCCGTCCACGAGATGGAGTCTGTTTCTGTGAAGCGAAAAATGGGTTATGCACGCCAAGAAAATGCCCGTCTTGCCATGCAGGATGTTCAACTCATCACTGACCTGGATGCTACACCGTATGAACTCCTGTCCTCCAGCTCTCGGGTAATACAGCCTTAAAACAGGGGTGTTTAAAAGACAGTATTTAATTTACCAATCTAGTATCTGTTTTGTACATACAGTTTCTGTTGGAAGCGAAACGAATCAGCTGTTTGCATGTAATGTATTCAATGGATATTGCTGATTAATAACAAAATGAATGTGGAGGCAAATGTGTGATGTGATATGAATACAAATATATTTTTTGTCATACAACAAAAACACAATATAACCAATATTCTGTTATCTCCAACGACAAATATTTTATATCATATCCATGATATATATTGTTATACCGAACAACTTAATGCGTAATACTGGACATTTTCTTTTCCAGGACCACCTGCGATGCTCAAATGGGTGGTCTGTTAACAACGTATCGGTCATGATGAATGAGCAAATGTTGCATCTTGAAACAGCGGTTGAGACCAAAGCCAAAGAACTTAAGTAAGTCGTGACGGATGAGCTTACGATGTGAATTGACATTTGTGGAGTGTCGACATGTTACATCAAAATATGAAAGCATATTGGAGGGCTCAGTAAAACTATGTCATGAATTCCTGTCATGCCTCCCTTTGACTATCCTAAAAGCCATTCCGTCTTTGTGTTTCTTAGGGCGGCAGAGCTGAGGGCAGAGCGTTGTCAGGAAGAAGCAGCACACAGTGACATCATGATAACAACTCTGACGGAGAAACTAAGCGCTCTGAGAGAAGAGCTGGCAACCAAGACGGCTCTGGCCAAAAGGTAATGGGGCCTTTTGCAAGAGTTTGGATTTAATAAGTGCTGCAATTTTATGATATCATGTGATTATATTTCACGGGTTTGGCGTTAGTTGAATGTGTGATTCAAAACACAATGGAGACGAAGGATATTTGTTAAGTATTTGATGCATTTTGTCCAATTTTTAACAGGGCGGAACAACAAAGAAACCAAGCCCTCGAAAATGCAGAGAAGCTCAAAGAAGCTTTCAAAGAGTACAAGGCCACCATTGCCAGTAAACTTCAAAAGGTAATTCATATTTTAGTCAGATACACGATAACACCAAGATCAGATTTAGACACTTTTTAATTAAATTTTGCTTGCCATTAGTTTACCTGCAGTATGGTGATTTTTTTTTGTGCATGTTTCATTAACTCAACGTGATGTTGACTCTTGTTTCCATTGTTCTGTTCGTTGCCCTCGGTAGAAAAAAAAAGTTTGGCTATCCCTCGCGCAGAGCAATAAAAACAGTCCTTGCGTGCGCTTTCTAGGTGACGGAGAATGAAACCAAATTAAAAGACAGTCTGATCGAGCGCGATCGTGAAAAAGAAGAGTTGGAACGAAAGTGCACCACGCTGGAGAGAGAAAAAGGCGATCAAAGTCATACAATCAGGTTTGCACGAACGCCGCTCTCTTTGTTCCGATCATGAGTTTTGCTGACTCGTCATAACTCGTCGGGCCTTGCAGCCAGCTAAAGGAGGACGCGAGGCGGGCAAAGACTTCTGCCGCTGAGTATTCGGACCTCCAGGCCCAGCTGGAGGATGCCGAGCGGCGGAGCTCAGACTTCCGCAGGCAGCTGACGGAGCGCAGCGCTGACTGCAGGGAGCTGGGCTCTCTGCGCAAGGAAGTGGAAGACCTGCGCGCCGTGACGAAGAACCAGGAGCTGTGCCTGGCCCAGAGCCGCAGAGTAGCCCAGCAGAGCCAAGCAGAGGCCACCAGCCTGGAGGCCATTTTATCTCTGCTGCATCTCAGAGAGGTGGGGAGATCGTTGCTTTCGGACTCACCTGATTTTCCTTATCAGTGGTTCATAAGTCATTTTTTGAATATGCTTCATAAAGCCAAAGTAGTCTTTTCCGCCTGCGACGATGTCATGTGATTTCTTTATTTATACCAGGATGCTCTTGGACCATTGTGTGTCAGGCCCTGCATTTTGCCCCCGGTGGACCATTCAGCAACTGCACAAACGCTGAACCTGAAACCCGGTACAGTGGGCCCATCAACCGCATGTTTAGATACGCTTCTTGCCAATACCGTACTAGAAGAATACACTTCTGAAATCTCTACCCTAATCAATCAATTATACTTTTTTGAGCAGACTGAGGATCCATTACAAAAGCCCACACAGTTAAAAAGAAAATCTCAGGTCAACGAAATAAACCATCAATGTGACCTTCATTTAATCAGCGGCAGCCTTTCTAGTGATTTGTAGTTTATTTTTTATTTTTTCTCCTCAGGTGAAGGCTACCAGCATCTATTACAAGTTCTTCAGGTGAAGGAGGCCGAGCGGATGAAACAACGCAGCCTGGTCGAGAAGCTTCAGGACCGCCTGAGCCGAGCCCAGGAGGAGAATTTGTCTCTGCAGAGCTCCTTGGCCCAAAGTGCTTCTCACTACCAAAACCTCCAGATGGAGCTGATGGACAAAGCCAACCAAGCCGTGGCCTCAGAGAAAGAGGTAACAAACACTTTTTTTTTCTCATTCTAACATTGACACCGGACATTCTGACGCTTCAGTTTCCGACCTTACAAGTGCTTTCACTGTTTGGGTCTAGAGCTTGTCAAAGATTTTTGCATTGTTCTTGATTTCAACTCAGCTGAAGAGGAAGAGTGCTCGAGTTGCGGCGCTGGAAAAACAGTTAGAGCAGAAAACGTCCGCCTATGCTCAGGCTGCGTTGAAGAATACAGAACTGGATAACCAGCTGCAGGTACAAAACCAACCCGCCTCCCATGCCTACACGGTGCAGTGGTGCTTTGATATGAAAGCCGTATTTTATTTTGATTTTTACCATCCACAGGTGCAAATATTTTTTTCATTCCTTGTTATCTATGTTTTTTTTTCTTGTATTTCATACAGGAGAAGACCAGCACTCTTCAACACTACCAAACTCTGATGAGCAAAAAGCAAAGAGAATACCAACAATCTTTGGAGAAGACTAAACAATCACATAGTCAGCAATGCACCGAGCAGCAGCACAGAATTGACGTGGTGACTTGATTTTACATCTTTGCTTATTTATTTATGTATTTTTAATATTCTTCAATGTCAAACGTATACCGGATTCACGGTATGTACACTCATATTGCAGATTTGAATCATGATAGAATGAATAGTGCCTGAGGTGTTCATTTTTGTATTTTTCACTTGGGTGTCACTGACCATAAGCCAAGGGGAAAAGGACAATTGCAATATTTTTTTAGTGCATTATAACTGTGTTATATAAGCGAAACTAAAATAATTGTCAAGTGGCTGTCTTCTCACGTTTGCAGCTGCAGCTGTCTGTGGACGATGCTCATTCTCGGCTGCTCGAGGCGAAGCAGGAGCTGACTTCTCTCCAGAAAGAACGTGATGGGGCGCTAGCCTTCGTTGAAGAGCTGAAACAGGTCGGGACTCCTGTCGAGCAAACTGTATTGAACATAAATTTGAATAAGTTGTGAATGAGGGCACCCGTTTGGTTTTGGCTCCAGGAGAAGCAAATTGAAGCGAGACACAATGAGGAGCTGCTCCAGACTTTACAGGAGCAGGCAGCTGAGTCGGCCACCAAGGTCAGTGGACTAACATTCTGCAACACGTGATCATGATACTGAAGTGCATGAAGTGGTTTCAAGGTGGAGACTGCACAACTGCCAGTTTTTGCTTTCATACTAATCGTGGCAGATCACTTTTCTTTACATGAACACACAATTTATTTGCCACAACATTTGTCACTCACAGGAGGCCGGATATGCATTTGCTGTGTTAATAAAAAGATCTGACCCTTAATATACATTTGTCCCACTTGGGGGCAGTGTTGTACACAATATAAATGCCAAGGACAGTTTTTATCACCATGACAACCTGGGTGGAGCGATTGCATGCAACTCATCAAGAAGCTATTTATTACCAATGACTTTGTTATTATATTTAGCAACTTTTCCAACCTCTTTAAGTGACTATTAAAAAGAAAAGCAACAAAGACTTTTTGTGGAGTTGCTGAAAACATCTGGAGACTCCGAGCCTCCCTCCAGGGCAGGAGATGTTCATCTCTCCCGAGTCCCGAGACTGACTTGGTTGTTTAATTTCACACTTCATGGGTCGGCACTATTTTTGTACAGACAATTTGAAAACCCAATTTTCCCATCAGATGCCTCTTTCTGAAATTTGCTAATTCTGCAAGTGGTGATTAGGACTTTTTCTGTGTGTGTGTGTGTGTGTGTGTGTGTGTGTGTGTGTGTGTGTGTGTGTGTGTGTGTGTGTGTGTGTGTTTTAGATAAGTGAGCTCCAGTCGTCCCTGTCAGGCTGCCGAGAGGAGCTGACGCGGCATCTTCAGCAGATGGAGGAGATGCGCAAGAGCTACGAGTCTGAGCTGCAGAGATCCAAAGACCAGGTTCACGATCGCCGCTCGGGCTGAATGATTTTCAAAAATAATCGAATTGATCTTTTTTCTTCAATACTCAACATTGCGATTATGATTGAATATTTTTACCTGGTCAATGCAATGAGATTTTTCTGATTAAACACCCACATACGGTGTGTGCCTTGACGCAGTAAAGGTTGGAAAATGGTTTTGTAAAGTAATGAGCTGGTAAAGTTGATTATTTATTTATTTCTTCTCATCCTCTTGTTTTTCTCCTTCCAGGTTAGTGTTCATGAAGAAAGCTCAGTTCCGAATCTCTGATGCTTTGCTCTTTTTAGTCACTCATTCCCGCTGTTTATTCAACCCCACCTCAGGTGCGTTCGCAGCAGGAAAAGCTTCACGACGCCACTCGGGTGGCTCAGGCTTCCAGTGAGCAAAACCTGCAGCTTCAGCTTTCTCTGCAGCAGCAGCAGACGATGCTGACTGAGAGCACGGCCCGCATCGCCGAACTGGAGGATAGCCAGAGTCAACTGCAGCAACAGGTGGGTGCGAGGTTGCTGGCTTATGAACTGTCAAACTTTGCTCGCATCGTATTTTGCGCACGCCTGCCACTTCGCAGATGTGTGATCGTTTCTTATGGGTTTTTACAGTATACGTATTGGTAGTATTCGAATGCCCTCGCATATAGGAAAGGAGAGCCACAGTTCTCGTGTGTTAGGCTCCAGCATGCCCGGAACCCAAGTGAGGAAAAGTGGCATCGGAAATGAAATGTTGAATGAATTTTTTTCACCGGTTTGATCTGTGTGATGGAGTTTTTTGGCCCATCAAGCCATTTTCCACGTTTCATCGACAACTTTATACCCAATTGATTTTGTGGAGAAACGATTTTGAAAAGACACCATATACTTATGTCTAGAAAAACAGAGGCACCTCATGCGCAACGATTTGTGCCAAATATTTGATGACATAAGAGTAACTCATAAAATTATGACCCACGGTGATTGTGGTCTGATTAGGAAATTGACGATCGAGGCGCTAATGTAGCGTGTGGACCTTGTGCGGTTGAATCTTGTGATTCTATAAATAGCACAGAATAATTTTTTGTTTGCAACTTTGCTGTCAAAAATTGGAGAACAGTGTTGTCCATTCAGTGCGCTAAGCTTTGCAGGGACACAAGTCAAGCGTAGATTTCTGATCGGCTGAGTGGCGACCGGCAACACCTAATGAAACAATCGGAAAGGCATCGGTGATGGTGATAGAATTCATTTTGAACAACAATATGTTCAAAATTTTGTTCTTAAAAAAATATAGGTGTCTACTTTAGAGCATCAGCTGGAGCGAGCTCGAGCCGCTCTGGCAATATGTTCAAAATTTTGTTCTTAAAAAAAATGTAGGTGTCCACTTTAGAGCATCAGCTGGAGCGAGCTCGAGCCGCTCTGCAGGACGAATTGAGGACCAGATGGGAAGACGACGTGGAGAAAGACAAAGACCTGCACGACGTGAAGGAAAAGAACACGAAACTGGCTGAGACGCTCAAGTAAGGACAGCAGTGCCGGCACACGAGTCAATATACAGAACAATTTCATCAACCGCTTCTTTTCCATGTTTCCCCCCCCCATCATGAGTCACATGATGTTCCTTTTGATCAACTCGGCATCTTATGATTACGCCACAACCGGCAGTGGGCGTGACACAAGCCTCTCGCTCTGCCTTTCGCATCCATCGACCTGTGCGCATATAAGAGCGTGCGCCTCGTTTGAAAGTCATTTCTTTCTGCTGGCTTGAACGGCTCAGAGGAAAAGCTCTTTGGCTATTTTTTTTTCTTTCATGTGACGTGAAGCCTTTTCGCTGCATTGCTCACAATTGCAGCCGTTCTCTGTATCAGAAATGGGTGGTGCGCTCATGATAAGGTGAGGCGAATAAGACTTGCATTTTATCCAGTGTCTGTTCAGTGATTTTTTTTCTTAATTGTCAAATATTGCACATAACTGTGAAACGAAATCACAAATGACAAGAAGCTTATTTGTTTGTCATATTCTCGAAGCCAAGTGACCACGGATGTGAAAAACTACCAAGTGGAGCTCAAGTCGAAGGAGTCGGAGCTGCAGAGTCTGCGGAAGGACGTCACCATCAAGACAACTCAGATCAGCGTCATGGACAAGAACCTGCAGCAAACAAGGAGCCTGCTTGAAAACAAGAATGACTTGGGTAAGCCAAATAAGACCGAAGACAAACTTTGTCTTGTGAAGAAGCTTCAATTGCGCCATTGTGGCCCTCACGTGTGGGTAAGGAGAGCCTCGGGTCGCAAATGCACCCTCAGCGCTTCCTTAAATAGGACAAACAGTCAAAGACACAAATACAAAATGAAGGCATTTGCAAGGAGCATGGCGCAGACGCTAACACTAAACTAACACCGGAGTAAACGGCCAATGCACCTCGGGTCACAAATGCACCCTCAGCTGTTCCTTAAAATAGGACAAACAGTCAAAGACACAAATACAAAATGAAGACATTTGCAAGGAGCATGGCGCAGACGCTAACACTAAACTAACACCGGAGTAAACGGCCAATGCGAGTTGGAGGAACAGCTTCTTATGTCTGTCGCTTGACCACACCTCTTAAAGGCACGCATCTACACACGAATACTACAGGTAAATCAAGGTACCAGTGTGTTGTACTGTTAAAACCATAAAAAGAATCACCGTCATCCACCAATTTGCCAGACATAGTATGGAGTGTTTTTTCCCCCCACATTCCGCTTCAGCCCGTTCACAGTTCCTGTCTCCCGTCTTTAGTGGCGGACTTGGAGGAGAAGCTCCATCGCTGCGAGGCAGACAAACACAACTGCGTCCAGAAGGGTCAGCATCTCGAGGGCCAGCTGCACACCGTG